TAATTTGTAGAAACAGAAGTTTCACTGAAAGATTCAGACCTCTTCATTTCCACATTCTGCAAGCAAAGTGAACAAGCAAAGACTATATTATCAACACTGAAAAGCAAACGTTATTCCGGTCTGTTGGAGAGCCATGGGCTCAGTGTCTTTACACCCTGTGTGTGTGTGTGTGTGTGTGTGTGTGTGCTTTTCACTCCACATATAGGCTACGTGCCTTTGCCATCGGCATTACACTAATATATGTCTTGTCTTTAAGAAGGCACTTCTCTTTTTTTCTCTCTTTTTGACTGGAACTGAAATCAATGGTCACGCAATTACAGAATGTGGATTTGTCAACTGACTTATGGCTGTTAAAGTGCGTGTGGGGAGCACTATACAAATACCCAATAAAGAGTTCAATAAGAGCAGTAACACTGCTGATTGCCAACTACGGTCCCATCAAAACCAGACGGCCAGTTTCAGGTGTTTTATTCTGTCGAGAAGCAATACTGCCTATTGGCAAAGAACATCGATGTTCACTCAAACGTCTCAAGGCGGTCTATTGACTCTCCACGAGGGAGCAGAGTCAACCATTTGGAAGTTATAGCTCCTTTCAAACAGTTTTAAGATAGAACAAACGTTCAGGGCTGGAAAGTGCTGTCTCGAGAGGCTCCGTCACCGATAATTAGTGATCAATCACGAATTAGTTTAAAAGCTTGAAAAGAACACTGAGAGCATTATTAGATTGCACTGCTCTCCAATAATGACTTGGATTTTTAGAGGAATGAAACCCCTGCAATCGTTTGTCAGTCTCCTCTATTGCCAATCACGTCCATTAATCAGGGGAAGGTCCAACCGGTCCATATCTGAAAGAGCGCAGGTGCCAAACAGAAAGGAAGAGGGGGGAAAAAAGCTGCTTTACAGCTTGTGTAATTAAAGGACATTAACAGAGATGGAGTCGACTGCTTCAGGTTCATCACTATGTGGTAAGTATGTTTTAAGTATTTGAAAAATAACTAAATCTAAAAATGCTAATCAGAGACTCATTCATGTTAATTCAGCTACTAAGATCTAAACTTAAAGGTATTTGCTTAAAATTGCACTCATCTAACGTAACAGATGTAAGATACTTCTATGGCTGGAGTTTGCTATTGAAACCACTCCCTACCATGAACTGACCAGCTCTCTGTAATTGAACCAATGCATCAATGCTGCATTTGTTCAATCTAATTTCAGGATGCTGCTACTAGGGCATATTTATCGAAGAGAACAAATATGTCTAATAGATCAGATTAGCCCACAAATCACAGGTCAAGGGAAGAAGCCATATCACAATATACCTGAGGTTAAACCAGAACATTGTTGTTGTCCTTTAGAAACCTGACCAAGGGCGTTTTTCATGGTGGCAATTAAGGGCCTTAATAATTCAATCGGAAGCTAAAACTAAATAATAATATTAATAATAATAATAAATCAAACTGTTATAGTTTATATACTTGTTATACAACTTTATTATATACTTGGATATTTGATAATTTGTTATTAATATTCTCACATTTTTGTTCTATCCTCTACTGTTGTTAACTGACTCGGGAAAACTGACTGTAAAAAGGGAAGGGTTAATTGGCAACACTTATGGTAATGTTAGTTACTTGATAAAGGCGCGAACTCGACAGAAATAATTTTTAATCAACTTGTTTCGCGCCATAACACGTCACCTGCAAAGGCGGGAAACCAACTGACAGGTCACAGCAAACACCTTACAAAGGCGTGAGACACTTGCCTGCTTCTCAAAACTTTAATCTCCAGATCAACGAGATAATGGAAGCTCTCTAACAAACAGCCGATTTCCTTAATGGATCCTAGCCCAAATTTGGCACTGGACGTAATTTAATAAAACAATTATATATAATTAACTTTGAGTAATGGCCGAAAGCAAATGAATTACTACTCCTCGTACCTGTTCTGGCGCTCTTTAATGACGATATCTCTCTGCAGTATTTTTCTTTTCATCAGTTGGGATGGAGGGGTTGTTGCACTTCCTATGCTAGTTGAGGAGCTGTCTCTCACGCGGCACGCGCGGCTGAGGTAATAAAGGCGTCAGTTGTTCGAATCATTTCCGCGAATCGGTTCTTTCGGACATTGCTCTAAACATTCAAATAAAGCCATTTAGGAACATATTGCTGTTTGTTGTGTGTTTTTAAGCAGGTGAGGGTGTTGATTGTACTTTTGTGGATCCCCAACCATTTGCGTCGATTCAAACGACTTAATCCAAATTCGTTTAGGGATCTAAAGTTATCATTCCAAAGTCCCTTGTAGCTATGTAATCTTCTGATCATTCTCTAGAAAAAAAACAAGTCCCCAATAATAACAACAAAAAGGTAGTTGTTCAAATTTGAACAATCTCCAAACATTTAAACAATATATTGCCTTTTTCCACGTAGGCTATCATATTACTATTATTAGTCGAGGAATTTTACAGAATGAGTTATCCCTTAGAATATGGTAACGTTATATCTGACTGTCACTGAACAACTATGATGTGAATAGACTACTTGCACAACTACTGACCTCTGAAATATGTCTATTGAGCCTGCTAATGTTCATTTACTCCTTTATTTTCGGAGCCTGAGATCAGAACACTCATGTCCCATACACCGCACGACCCAGAGTGTTTTGACAGGAGGCGAATTAGCACACTATCTATAATAACAAGAAGCAGTAACACTGACTTTACTCATCTACAGGATCTGTGACTACTCAGGCAACCCGGTATTGCCACATCTCTCTCCATGACGGTGAGAGACACATTTTTACATTAGGCAGTAAATGAACCAAGAACATCTGATCTAACTTGAACATTAACACACATAACTTTACTATCACAAAAACTTAAAGATCTTACTGCAATTACACGTAAATCAACTCTCAATAAACAATTACCCATAATGCACCCAGCTGCTAGACCCATTTTCAGTTGGTAAACATGGTGACGTTTTTTGTGGGCGGAGCTTAGGCAGAACGATCCCTCTGGCTGCTTAACGCTAGCAAGTATTGTTAGCTTGTTTTTTAACAATGACTGGAGAAAATCCGATTTTATCTTAATGTGTAAGGTCACTCAGTGTCCAGGACCGCGATTGTTATTTTTCAAAAGTTATCTTTACGGACGGAACGGAACCAGATTGGCCGACCCGTAGCCATCTACACACTCACAATTAATGTTACGTTACCTCGGGTGAGTGGCCTGACTTAAAATGACCATAAAGAGAAACTGAGGCCGGGCATATAAATCTTTAGATGCCTATATGGTCCTGTACAAGACGTGTGTGTATGATCCGCAGTTCTGCAGAGCCAGCGCTGAGACAACAGTATTACAGTGTGATTTAAAGATGTGAATTTTCTAGAAATAAATTCCAAATACGGCATATTATTTTTTCATCAATTCTTGCACCAGACAACACAACAAGATGACATTTAATAATAGTAACAGTAATTTAAGCTCCTTATTTTGTAGCCGAATCTGTGTTGGCCGCCTCCAGTTTTCAGTTTTCACTTTGTTTCGCCTCCAGCTAGCTAGCGCCGTGACCTCGGCACAAAAGTCTGCAGTCTTATGTCTTCTCATTAACAACAGTATTTTTGTCTTTGCCTACTTATATTCTATACTTGAGTTTACATTTTTTTTAAATTAATTTGACTAATAAAAAGTGTGCATTGGTGCTTTATTCCTGTCTTTTTAAAATAGTTAAATGAATGATCGCGAGGTGCTGCGATCATAGATCAGAACACCCGCAGCATAGGAGAATGAGTCAACTTCTCTGAAAACGAATTAAGCATTTTGGTCATGAACATGTAAATAATAAAACGATTGACATTAAAAAAATGAACGGTCACATTTAATCCAAATAAATGTTCGTGTTTCGTACTGATGTTATTCATCTGTTCTCACCAACGTAGACGAACGCTGACACCCTGTGGTGAAATGGCGTTTTTTTTACTGCCGCAGCTTTCTCGGATTGGCTTGGTTTGGATTTAAACTTCATGTTCTGATGAGTTTTGAAAATTCTGCACATACAGTAAACATCAGAATATCCCTTCTTCTGTCAATAAATTTTCCAAAATAAAACTTTATTACAGACACTCATTTTAGGTGGTGTTTGTTCAACTCATTGACGATTGACCGCAGTAGGCCTACATTGAAAGTAAACATAACCGAAAGTAAGTGATATGTATTGTTTCCAAACGGAAGTGCGTCGTGACTCGTGAAGCTCAGTGCAAGTCAAAAGACCTACAGTAGTAGAACTCAATCAATAGTTTTAATAATATAGCAACCTACTCAAGATGCCCACTGTTTCTGTATTTAATTTTGTGATTACCAATGCTCAAACTGGTTGCACACACAGATAAATAATGACATCCCTGTCTCAAGTCACATTGACTATGTAGTGGTACATATTAAACATCAAATATGTTATTATTGACTTTTATTGTGCAGTATCACACTGCATTTTCACATTTTAGTGTCAGTGTTGACAAAAAGCGTATAATCCACTGGAAACTTACCGTGATTCTTCTGGTTGAGATGGTGTAAAAAAATAAATTTAAATTAAAAAAAATAAATAAATAAAAATAAAACTGAAGTGTGTAAAAAACATATGCCTATTTGCAACAAATAACCTTTTCACATTTCCGGGTTTCTCAGAAGCAGAAGTCGTTAACCTATTTTTTGTGTTCTCATTTGCTCAGCTAAAGAAAAACCTGACAATTAGTGTTTTCACAACTTTCAAAATAAGGGAAAAATAGAGAAAGATATATATATATATATATATATATATATATATATATGAACTTTCGAGGATTTACGATGCTGATGACCATTAAAACTGTGTGTTAAAAGGCTGTATTATTGGTTTCAAACAGGTTTCCAGAATATTCCTCCTTGTCTATCATTAGTCGAAAAATTGACAGCCTCGCCCCAACTCGTGCAGTTGGCTGCTCAAACAGTGACAGAGCCAAAGAGCGAATAGGAAAATCAACTTGCAAATAACTTTATATTTATCTGATCATATTACAGTATTTTGAGATGGGACAGGAGCCATTTTTAATATTAATTACAATATGAATTATTTGTTTTAAAAATTACACACTTCAGCTTTAATGTAAAGATATTACAAATGCACCTGATATCCATTCAGCTATGCTAAAACAAATATTACACTTTTTATGTATTCAAGTAACATTTGCAAGAGAAATAATTGAGACATGGCTGCCTTTAAGCTCTTGCAGAATTGTACATATTTGCATGGCAGGACATGATCTGTAATCTTTACAATAAGTGCTGCATTATGCCACTGTGCATTTTGACCAGTTAAAGTGATAGCCAATGCCCTGAGAAAGCCTCTTTAAAGGCTCAGTAAACACTACCACAAATGTTCATTTTTCAGTGCAGTCTCCTCTGTCCACCTGCAAACAAAAGCTCTGCCACATCCTGTATCAATATCTAATTTGCATAACTTAAAACGTGACAGATTAGATCGGTTTAAAAAAAATATTCTAAGTGCAGGTAGCATTTCAGTCTCTTGTGGAATCACCCAGCAGATAAGATCATTATTGCTGTAAGGTCTCTCTCCAGCTGAAGCTGTGGTTGGGCCCATGAGTTAAAGGAAGAATTGGTGGATCCACAAGCTGCCAGACTCCTGAGTCCCCCTGCTCCTCACAGGCACAGAAACCCAGGTAGGGAATCTAGATGGAAAGATCTTCCATAAAGCATCACTTTTTAAAGTATAAATTTCAAATGTTTAAAGTAAAAGGGTGACAAAGTAACCTTTCGGACTACTTGCACAAAATCTTTAGGGTTCTGGGGAGAAAGACCCTGGATCTGACGAGTGCAGGCCTCCAAAGAGGAAGCATGTCCCACAAACAGAATATTTTTGCCTGATTTGAAAAAAAGAAAGGGGTTATTATTAGTAAAGAACAAGTGAGCTGCACGTCCTGAAAAGTGAAGCCAAAACATTTTGATCGCCCCCTGGTGGCTGGCTGCAGTATAGGTCATAAACCCCACCCTTTCCGTGTAATCGAATAGGACAACTCAAAAAGTCCAACTTAAAAAATCCACACACAAAAATCCAATTACCTATTTTTTTTTACAGTCTATGCCAATTACACTTCAAATATTTCTTTTATTTAGTCATTTTCGGTACTGTAGTTCTTATCAAACAGTCGTTTGTGTTTTTCTAATACTGGATTTAATTATTTGATGCAATAAAAAAAATAAGAATTGTTTTTTCAAAACATCCCGGCCATATTCCTGCTGTGCTGTGCTTGAGCAGGTATATGGCCAGGACCTTGATAACACGTCTCCACCTCAGGATCACTAATTCACAGAATCGGGCTCCGCAGGACGTAATCGGCAACACCAACAGCCATATTTTGGCTTAATTTTTGTAACGTGGAGGAAAGTGGTAGAGTCCAGCTGTTTTTTTTTTACAGTCTATGGTAAAGATTTGTGAGTCAGAATACATGCACAGAAGGCATTCATAGTCAAGAAAAACTCACCCTTATTTTTGCAGTATGCCAAAATGTCTTTGGTCACCTGGTGGCTCCGACTTATGTACGTGTCATACGCCTCTGAGACGGTTAGCTTGCTAATGGGGATGTGGGGTCTGAGGAAAGGCAGCTGTTGATTAGGACTGAATTTGAAATCTAAATAGCTGCTATATAGGCCACAGTATATGATCAAAATTGTTACCTGTACGTTGTGTCTACATTAAGGTTGGCCGCAGCAAGTTCTGTGGGGGGTATCCAAGCAGGCAAAGATGTCCCGGACACCCATTTAGTCCACTCAAAAAGCCCAGGCTCAATTCTAATGCTTATGGTGCCATCTTGCTGCATTCCTAAAGTAGTACACGAAAAATGTCAGAGTTTATAAATATAACATTTTTAATTAAAAATAAAGTGACAATGTACATAAAGATGTAGCACAACCTAGTGTCATTCTTTTACATTTATTATGATATTATAAGTACAAATCTAATACAATTGTGATTCTCTAAAATGGGTTTTAAAATTGGGGTACAGGACTCCTAGGGAGCCACAAGGAAATTTTAACTATCTATTGGTGGGTGGAAGAAAAGTGCAACTTAATAGAACTAAATCTACATAAATAGATCTAAATATTCAATTAATATCCATTAGAAACTCAGATATTTTTTTAACAGTCTTTAAGACTTTTTAATGTTCTAAAAGAAGTGCTAAACAAGGCTGCATTCATTTGATTAAAAATACAGTAAAACAATAATATTGTGAAACAATTTCAAAATAACTGTTTTTTGAGTATATTTTAAAATGTAATTTATTTCTGTGATGGAAAAGCTTTCAGCAGCCTTCAGTGCCACATGACCATTTAGAAATGATTCTAATATTCTTATTTGCGGCTCAAGAAACATTTCTTGTAATTATCAATGTTGAAAACCATTGTACTGCTTAATATATTTGTGAAAACCAAGATGGCAAATTATTTGTTACATTGTTCATGTATTTAGTCACTGTTGACTAACTCATTTACATGCTTTGTTTCAGAGTGTCCCCTCATTGTAACTACTCCTCTTCTACATGTATAAACTACGGTCTGTATTTTATTTTAGTCAGACTTGGATGGAAAGACCACAGCAACGCAACAGCTTGCGTTCTCAATAAAAGAATCCGACTTAATACAACCCGAGTGTCCTGGTTTTTGCTTCTGTGTTCCTAAACTTTAGAAGAAAAAAGTTCACAAAATCAATTAATAAAAAATGTCTTTCAAAAATCTTACTGACCAAACGGTTGAGTTTGTGTATTTATAGTATTTTTATTTTTCACAGTATAAATTGGATCTTTATACATGCAAATGTTTTATATATTAGGAAGGGGGTCCACCACAAGGAGCCCATCATATTTGAGGGTCCATGGCATCTAAAAGATAAAAAAAGATCTAAAAGACATTTACATACACCTATTGGAATTTTCCTGTAGATATGTATAAAGTTGTTCAAGGTGTCATTTTTGACAGTAATTGAATCAGATCATTAATTCTCATACACACATACCCGTCAACACACCCGTTTTTCCTCTCTCCCTGACCCCTCCCGGTTTGTTATTTCTCCCGGGAAACTCACGTAATTTACATGGCCCAAACTCCTTTATGAATAATCGGACCAATATGTTTGTCTAATGTTGAACAGTTGCCAGATCTTGTATTAAATGCATTATATTCACACAATCCACACACCATACAATTTCAACCCGTTTTTCATCTCAACCTGGCAACCTATACCCCAGTTGCGCAGTCGCGGAAAGCTCAACCCGAATTTTCATGAATTTATATCATGTTGGCATTCTTATCCATTACACCACTGCTGCCTCCATATTCCTGACTGCAGTACGTACCTCTGAGAATTTCATGAGCTGTCTGGACACATCGGAGGCTGGGCGAGCAGTACACAAAATCAATACTGGTATTACTTTCCAGCAGAGCCTCACCTGGAAATCAGATAGATGACATAAAAAGAGCATGATGGACAATTCAATTGGTGAAATTGCAGGTGTGGACATTAAAACACCGAGCAGACATACCCACTGTCTTAGCCTGCGTAGATCCAACCACTGTGATAGGAGCATCCATTTCATAGTCCCTGTGCGCTCCACCCCAGGCAGGCAGTGCAGCAGGCATATTTAGGTTCCTCCTCACATACCTGCCTACAAGAAGACAAACTGAGCTGGCAAACAAACAGCACCATGTGAGCGAGGCGCCACGAACCGTCTGTTCAGATTACCTTTGGAGTCAGAACACTGTGAGAACCAGTGTTTCCCAAACACAACATCCATTCTCTCTCCATGCCGACATACAAACAGGGTCCTTTTAGGGGTCTGAGACTGCATGTTGGAACGAAGCATCTACCATCAACAGCACAAATGCATTAATAAATTACTCAAATCATTAGTAACTGCACAAGCCCAACGTTTATTTTGAACTTTTTTTTGGTACTCATAAATAATTAGGCACCTGCATTGGTTGGCAAATAACACTCAAAATGGCAGACTCTCCCAGCTTTGAGTTTTCAAAGCATCGAAGGTTGAGCAGCCCATCCAATACTTTGCTCTCTTTGGAACACTTTTCCGAAGGAGAAGTACAAAAGAAGGAGTGTGATCTGTTCAAGGAGATGAGAAGAGTTAAACACACTACAAAACATTGTCTTTTGGCAACATTCAATACCGACAATATTGTTTTCAAAAACTTGCACACTTTAAATCCCCGTTTTTAAAAGTTTGCTTTTTCAGGCCCCCAACTTACAAAGTGTAAATGAACCTAAATAAAAAAAATAAAATCAAAACATAAAAAGTTTTCTGTTTTTAGTTGAAAACTGTGTCATATAAATACCATTTTATTTTGCATATGGGCCCGGGACTGACTTGCTACGCCACTGCAATGGACACTTTACTATCCCATGAGGCCACAGGAGAGGATTTCTGAATGGTAGCGAAATGACGCAACTGACACTGGTAGGTACGTGACAATGAAAACATGGCAAATGTAGTATGTCTGGATAACATTCATACTACACACATTCATACTATTGTGAGATTTAATTGTGTGAATATTTAGTATTATATAAATTGGGTAATTTATTTTGCTGTTCATGGGTGATGCAATTGCGACATTATGGATAGGTATGGGGAATTGGCAAGCTGACATGTGCAGTTATTATATATGAAAAGGGACATGCACATGTATGTATGATGGAAAAATTAAGAATAGAGCGCGTAGGTGAAGCGAGCGTTACTGCAGCGTGTTTTCTCCCTATATGAGCTCTGACAAATAAAAGTAGCCAGTAAAGTTCCAAATTTCCTTGTATGCCTGCATTAATCCGTAATTTGTTAATCCCATTTACCAGAGACTGGAGCTTCCCCTTATGTTCCACCAACGCATTCTCATCCTTTGGAGTCATATAGGTGAAACCATATGATATTTCGTTGAAATACTATGCACATGGCACCCTTTAGCGTCAATATAACTACCACTCGCACTTGTATGACGCCTTGGGTTCTACGTGTTATATTGACGCTAAAGGGTGCCATGTATGTAGTATTTCGACGAAATGTCATATGACGTCACCTATATGACGCCAAAGGATGAGAACGGGCAGGTTCCACCGCCCCTCTTACACTATATAGAACATGCTCGTTTAATGGATGCAAACAAACGGACTTCTTATTTAAAAGTAGTACCTACACGGGAAGTATGCGATTTCGGATGCATCCGGTGAGTATGTTTTAGGTGAACTTTCCCTCAAACAATGTGAAAGAGTCTTGCTGAGAACTGATCCTAGCATTTGGAGAACTTACCCGTGGAACACCCACGTGTCAGACTCATCAGCAGGGCTCACATAATTCTCCGGCAGCAGTGCAGAGATGCCTGTTCCCAGAGACGTGCCGTGCACCCAGCCCTCACTGGTACTCATTTGCTCCACTGTAGATGAGAAGATAAAGTCTCCTGGCACCAGTTCCAGCTCATCGTCATTCTGAGGAGTGTAGGGGTACATCACTCGCAAAGTCTGACAGTGAAACACAGGTTAGTGTGCATTACAGTGGATTTGAATGAACTAGTAAAACAATAAAATTGCATGAATGACACTAATAGTAGGACATTGGCTCAATTGGGGCTCACCTCGTGATTCGCAAATCTTATGTCCCGTGAAAAGAGGGCAGCTAGCCAGTCACAACCTAGTTTCACCTCAATCCCTCTTGCCAACTTTTCCAAGCAAGAAAAATGATTGGTTGGGAAGTGATAGGCTAGAGTCAAATGAAGCTGCTTTTTATGTGGTTCCACATGGACATCTATGATATAAATAAATAAATAGAGTGTCATCAGCATTTTTATGAATTTATAATCAAGTAAACAAGTAAGAAAGAAAGTAATACAGGTTTTGGAACGACATGAGGATGAGTAATGAGCCGATTAAAATAAAACGTGAGCACTATCCAGGCACCATCTGTGACAAATGCTCTGATCACGCCTCCCCACCAGCTTTAGTGGCAGCCTCCACAGCAAAGTCAGCCGCAAACTTCTTCAGTGTCTCAGCCACCTGCTCCTCCACAAAGAGGCCAATGAAGTTGGTGGAGGTGTAGAGCTCCAGGGGCAAAGGGCTGGGGAAGCGTCCTCTCCACTGATTCACTGTAGACTGCAGAGCTTCACACAGGTCCACTAGTTTATTGTCTGGACACTGTAAACACAGAAAATGAAGAAATGTAAAAAAACAAAAAAAAAACACAGCATAATTAGAATAGATCAAGATTAAAATAGACATTGTGACTCACCATAAAGAACTGGCAGAGTGTGATGTGTGGAAATATGTTGTGAGCTTTGTTCTTTCCACAAGTTAAGCGAGACTGCTGCCAAAAATGGGAAAGCTGGTTTTGTAAAGGCCCACTGGGGCGCAGGTAGAGCACATACTCTCTGGGTAAAGGGTCGTCCAGGAAAGGGTCATCCAAATGTGAGAAAAGCCTAAGGAGACACATGCACATGATCATAAATTCTAAAGCATAGCTAAACCAGCATATAAAGTATGTGTAATTGTAACTGTCAACCAATTATTCTGCTTGTTTTATGTATAGAACAGCTGGATTTATGCAAATAAAGCACTAGAGGGCAGTGCAATTACTTTAGACAGAGGGCTTCAACCATGGTCCCAAGGAGAACAGAGGCTAGATTTTTTTTAAAGGGATACTCCACTTTTTTGGAAATAGGGCCATTTTACTCCCCCAAAGTTTTACCGTTTTCGAATCCATTCAGCCGATTTTCGGATATTTAGAAGAATATCAGTAAACAGACAGTTTCTGGTCTCATTGACTTCCATAGTAGGAAAAAATATATACAGTACTATGAAAGTCAATGAAACCAGAAACTGTCTGTTTACTGATATTCTTCTAAATATCCGAAAATCGGCTGAATGGATTCGAAAATGGTAAAACTCAACTGTTCATCTCTGGGGGAGTGGCAAAATGAGCCTATTTCCAAAAAAAAAAGTGGAGTATTCCTTTAAAAGGATCTCAATGGAAGAGAGGCTTCACTATGCTGAATAAACTGCTTTTGTGGGAAAACGGCTTGTCAGTTAATGAATCGACAGCCAATTGGCTAATCTTCAAGATATTTGCTCCTAAACATTTGTTATGGATAGTTTACACCGAAAAAAATCGGTTTATAAAGTTTTATAAAAGAAGTCATGGACATTTAGTGACGGGTATGATTCAGTTTACGGCACATCTGCAAACAGTAATTGACTGTCGCACAACCCTGAAAGAAATTTAACGGCTGTAATGTGACTCGCACATCCACCATGTTTGTAGTTCTAATCCAGTTCTAACACTCAACGTGGTTGTAGCACTGGGCAATTTTAGCCATTAGAGTGTGCACGGATTTGCACTTTGTATTCTAAACGAAAAAAGTAGACCATCCAAGTATCTTTGGAAAACTCATTTCAACTACGATTTGGGACACACTAATTCTAATTTCAAATAGTGTCTAGGATGGATAGTATACAAATTGGGACACAGCATATCTACGGTTTTGCTAAACCCTAAACAAACACACCCTAACCAGATAATCATGGTCTTCAGGTGTGCTGAAACAGGTAGGAAATAAACTTTAGGAGATTGAGTCTGAAGGAGGAGGGTTGAAGACTTAGGGGTGCGGTTAGGAAAGCTCACCAGTCACATGCAAGCTGAACACTTCTGCCTCCAGTTGATGCCAGAGCTTTCAGCCTGTAAAGAGAAAATATTTTAGCTAATTACCAGTAGTTACAAGTCAAACAGCTGCCTCAGTATCCTTAGAAACGCTTTGAACATCATAGAACGTCAATAGTTCATCATAACATCGTAATATACATAATTCACCTGCTATATTCTTTGATTCTTCAGATCAACAGAAAGATGTACGGGGATAACATAGCTTCTCTTGAGACTCTCTTGCTTCACAGCATATGATATGCAATTGCCAGCCAGCACGTTGATGTAATTAGTTTGTAGTAGATGTAGTGGTAGTTTGTGATGTAATTAACACCAGAAATTGTAACCATTGTTTTTGAGACTGTCTTTAGAGCACTACAGTTTTAAAGAGAAAATACTCAGCAATGGTGTTGACTTATGGATTTGCACATGGTTTGTCTTAAAGCATATTAAAAACATCATAGACATAAAAACTTGATTTTTATTACAGGTGGACTTTAAGCATCTGCTGTGCAGGCCTGAGCGAGCATACATGATGAGAATATGTTTGAAGTCTATGAGCCAACATGCACTTGGTCATTTTCCAATGGACCATGTGTCATTTTGAATCTAATAGACTATGTGCTGTGCTCACTGCTCACACTATGACACTATGTTTTGAGGTCTGTGACAGTGCAACATGTGTAAAAAGAGATGAGATGTTATTTATATATATATATATATATATAATTTCTAACACGTGAGCCAGTGAAAAAGCCGATACACTGCGTGGGAGACACTTCTCTCACACCTCAGTCAGTGTCTCTCATACAGACTATGATTGCTTCTTAAAGTGAAAGTTCTGCTTTAAAAAGAGTACAGCTTTTTAAGATGCACCTTAAATGGGAAGTATTTCAGTATTTAATGCAGTTTGGATCTTTTGTTCTTTGATCTTGCATACTTTTGTTCATGGTTTTCAAAGATCTTCTTTGAAACATCTTTATTTGATTAGCTTCTACCAAGTGACAGATACATTTGTGCAAAAATAAAGTGGAGTTTCAACACACAAACTTTGAGATCATCAACAAACCATATGGAAAACATTTTCAACTTAATTATCAATTCAAAAGTTGACAAACCTTATCTTTCTAACTATGCATGATAGTATAGTTGGCTGGACTTTATTTGCGTATTACGGAGCCCTGCACAAAATGTGTTCCCTTGGAAAAGAAACGTACGGGATTACTATATTTTTTCTGTAATTTAATTACAATTCCTTCTGATGTAATGGCATAAAATACTTTAAAAACTATAGAACAATTCTTTAAGACCTTAATGAATAAAAAGTCAGGGTAAGAATACACCCTAATTTGCCATTTTCAGAAAACTTTCAGGAACCGTGAACCATAGAAAAAAAAAATACTGCCAGACGGTTTCTGTTCTGAAAGAGCAAACTAAGTGAGAATGTGGTTACATGGGATGTATTGTATTAGAGTGTTTCAGCCTGTGTGAACAGGTCATCATAAGACCTCACATTGCCTCATTTTAACTATTACCACTGAAGTGAAACCTCACTGTATACCAAGACTTCCCCTAATCTCCGTTCTGCAAAGACCTCGAACAGGAAAGAGTTTACCCAGAAACAGGGATAGTTTATATATTTCAGTTCCCTTTCGTTGCCACTCCAAGTTCCATCAGATGACGGTGATGGGGGTTTCGCTTAGAAAGCCTATCAGCTTCGATCAATATAAAACGAGCCAATGGCAAAGAAATGCCTTGGGTCTGCGGATTTTGCATGGCGTAACTCCGCCTCACCTTGAGAGTATAAAAGTAGGACACCAGCATAATACAGACATGTTTTCGCTTCCCTGAGATGACTGCCATGCTTTCCGGGCAGCCGTGAGCAACGGGTTACAGTTGTCTCGAGCGCTCGCGGCTGGATGATTGGAATTTGGGCACGGCCGCCGATTCACGTCCACGGCCAACCCCAATACCTTTCTTCCCGGACGTGCATGATGAGATCTCAACGTCCTGGAAGACCCCCATGTCTTCCCGCGACCGCTCGTTGATCTCATCCGCCTTTCCTCCCCTTGATGAAGCCGCTGACGATGGGTACACAGGGCTCCCCCTGGTTGAACGCTCTGTTGCGATGCAACTGTGTCCACAGTGCTTCTTCTCGTGGCGAGCCTAAGCACCCATCCAAAGCCTGTAGGTACTCGTCTACGTTAGTGGCCGTCGGTGTATGAATGGGTGAATGTGAGGCAAATGTAAAGCGCTTTGGTGGCCATTAGGTCTATGAAAGCGCTATATAAATGCAGTCCATTTACCATTTAGTGGTGAAGTCCTACAGAGCGGCGGGTCAGGAAGCCGCTTCGCTGCATGCTATGGCCATTCTGCAGGTCTACCAGGTCCAGATACTCAGAGACATGCACGAGGGCAGGACAGACCCAGCGCTCTTCGATGAGCTGCGCGCCGTCACCGACCATGCCCTCCTGGCGACGAAGGTGACCGCACAGTCCCTGGGTTTGGTGATGTCCACAGCCATGGTCCGGGAGAGACACCTCTGGCTGAACCTGGCCGAAATGAAGGATGCCGAGCAGTCCCGGCTGCTCGGCAGGCACCCCCTGTCCCAGGCCGGCCTCTTCGGTGGTGCAGTCGAGGACTTCGCACAACAGTTCCCGACTTCTCAGAAACAGACTGAGGCCATAAAGCATATGACAGGCTGCTGACGGGCTGCTCAGGGATGTCGATTTCTCAGGAGATGGTAGCAGGACCACTCACTCCCTCCCCCGGAGGAGGGCTGGGGGAGAATCTTTTGTTCTTCACTGCCCGCTGCTCATCCTCGGGTGAACAGCACCCTAATGTGGTTAAAGAAAGAAGTAACACATCCATCCCTGAGCACACAGAGTTCTTGGATGACACGGTGCACCACCCATCCTCCTCTGTCCCAGAGCCGGATGACAGTGCGCTTTGCGATAACATTTTAGAATATTATTTGTTCATTGAAAAGACTAATTGCTGTACAAATAGATAACAGCAGTCAACATCTGAACATAAATAAATGACTAGATCGTAAAAAAAACAACTTGAAATTCATAATATTTCCATGATTGTGTATACCAACAACATGGAAATTATGAACTATTACATATGATGAAAGGGATTTTTTTAATACCAAAGTGTGCTTTACAATGCACATGAGACAATCACTGGGCTAAATGTTGTATTATAAGCTAAATTTTCTATCTCATGGCATTGAAATATCTCATGGCATTTCACTTGACAACAAACAAGACATGAAAAAAGTTAAGCGTTTTTCCCTCCCTAATAGTTGATGAATTTATTTAGTGGTTTTAAATATATAATATAATTCAAATAATATAATATATGTTAAGATTGATTTGATATGGTTAGTTACATTTTATTATTTGCATTAAACATTTTTTTTTTCATTTCCTCATTTTCCTATTAGAACAGGCCAGCACTTTTTCATAATAAAGCAGCACAGATCAAGTTCTCACACTGCAGTGTAGTAGACTTAATCACAGAGATAACAGGCCCGAAATACTTTCTCACGCACAGATGCACCAAGTTAAAAAGAAAAATAGGCCGAAGAGGTTTACAAGTTCACAAGAGGATGACAATTGACGAAACACAACACATCCATTGAAAAAGCACATGACAACATGAAATATTAACGTGCATACCAAGCATGATAGTGAAAACATCCACTGATTAAAATATAAAGTAGGTCATAACATTTCCCCATCATATAACCAAATATGCATCTTAAAATGAGATAAAATCTGAATAACCGCCCAAGCACCCACAGACACCATCATATCCTAAGATGCCTTTTTATGTCTTACTAGCTATTTCCAATTTACCCTGTATTACTCATATACAATTTGCTGAAGGTGCATTGTGGGGTGATTCTTTACAAATTCCAGTGACACATCCGATAATTAAATATTTATGACTGTTCGTCCAAAAAGATGTGATCTATATCCTCAAGTCTAATGAACAAAAACATAAATGGAGAGGGGGAAAAGATTTGTTTTTAAAAACATAATGCTTTTTGCCACAGCTCACTTACATGAGCAAAATCTTGTATTATTTTGTGGTAAATTATCTAAAAAGAGATTATATTTTGTGTATATTTATATCATGGCTTTTAGCATTAGCAACCAGCAGCCTGTAAATAAGATTAAATTTAAACTTTACAGGTTCACTGCCTGTTCTATTTTTTTTTTTTTTTTTTTTGTTCTTGTTTAATGATACATCTAACCATTTTCCACATATCACTCCAGATAATCTCCACAAAGCGTCTTTCATAATCTTCCATCTGACCAAACAGACATGAACACACCGGCTCTTTGGGGAAATCCCACAGCTCAGACCTCTGCATCCCTAAGTTTCCTGTTTACAGATCTTCCTTTAGCCTGATTCTTTGCCAGAGGCTCAAGATAGTCACTACAATCCAGAAGAACAACTAGTTTTGCAGACAGATAACTAATGTCAGCGTATAATGTACTGCAGTACTGGACTGTATGCACTCAAAAGTAATATAGCCTATATGTAAAGATTCTAAATATAAATAGCTTTTATAATAGTAAGGTTTGATTGATTAAATCAATCAAAAGTGACATTAAAAGACATTTATAATGTTACAAAAGATTTCTATTTCAAATAAATGCTTTTATTTTGATTTTTTTTTTTATTATTATAGAAGATTAAGAAAAATATCATGGTTTCTACAAAAATATTTTCAATCTTGAGAACAGTTTCCTGTGGAAGCTCGTTTCTGCCACAGAATGATAATTAAAAAAGGTAATTGCAAAATTTAACTCACAATTGTGAGTTTACATCTTGCAATTCTGACTTTTTATCTTAGAATTGAGCAATAGTGAGAAAAATTCAAAAGAGTTTATATCACACAATTCAGAGAAATGAAGTCGCAATTATCTTAAATATTTTATTCTGTGGCGGAAACAAGCATCCTGAGCCCCAAATCAGCATATTTATTTCATGTGACACTAAAACTGAAGTAATGACTGCTGAAAACTCAGCTTTAGCAGGCATACAACACTCTAAATAGTAACATATTTCACATTTTTAGCTGTTTCTTCCAGAGCTTTATTCTGAGCAGGAGGGTGGAAGGACACCCGCATTTGGACACACGGCTCTCATTCTGGCAATCGCACAACCGCCACAGATGGAGGACTCACAAATGAGAGAACACACACTGATACAGGCCCCTTACAAACAGTGGAGGAGTGGAAGAGTAGGCTGACTTTGAACAACTGCTTCTGTGGATCCCACTCTTGTGCCTGTTTTTTTTTTTTTCAGAGGTGGAGGAGAGGTTCGCTCCCTATTGATGCTGCTAGTGTGCCGGCCTACATCTGTTTCCTTTCTCCCAGCAGCCACCGAGGGAGCTGAGCCAAAAAGGAAGCAGAAAAAGATACGACTGATCTCACTGACGCCCGGCAAGAGCAACAGACACTATCCCACAAGGTCCACAAGTACCAGCTGCCATTCCTGCCACACAGAGCGCACAGCTGTTCATCCCAAAACATGGCCAGCCAACACCTGCAGGGCTGTCGGCAAATGTGGTCAGACCAGGACAAGCAACGGGGACAGCTGATGGCCCACTTGAATCCACAGAACGTCACATCACAACAGAAACATGAAATGCATCCTGCGAGGGACACAATGTGGCCTTTGAGTAAGGAAGATGATCAGGATCTCAGTATTTATACACCAGGTCATGGTCGCCATTTCATCTCCTGCTCTGTCATCTTTCAGGAAGGAAGTTGATGACATTTACACAGCGTGACCCTGAGACAAAACCACAGCATTATACGCGCAGACTGACTACTGGAAAACGCTACCTTGTGACAAGAGAAACGGTGATATAAGTAATATGAGCAAAAGAATAATGAGAAGGACTGGTTAGTGGAGTCAGAGTTAACGGTTCAGCCAAGAATGAAATGTTACAAACGTGTATGTCCTTTCAGGTTTGTCGCATCATTTTGAAAATGTGTCAGGTTTCATTAAAATATATATATAAAAAAAGGTTGTAAATTGTGGAAGGTGTTGCGGTAATGAGAGAAATTAAACAAAAACATGAAAGAATCCTAATTTAAAAATAAATATTATTTCAGGTTTCCAAGTAACTGTGCATGACTGTTAATAAACCGTTTTTAAAAATCTGAAAATGTATTTTATTTTCTAACAGTGTTGATTTTTCACATTGTTGCGGTAATGAGATTTAGGACTTGTTTTGGAAATTATGCTCAAACAGGTCTTAAATTGTAAGTGAATGTTTTAAATTAATATTCACAAATTATTTAGACTTAATTATACAGACTTTGTTTCTAATGTCTGATTTGTTTGCTTGTTTTTTTTTAATTTTCATGTTTGAAATTTTTAAAACCAAGCTTTCGTGAGAACCACCCAATCACCCAAAAAGAGTAATATTTGAAAAAATGTCTGGCCCACACTTTTTTAAATATAATGAAAGTTAATGAGAACGGTATTCTGCAACTGTATTCTGTAAGCTCCAAAATTAAAAAAAAAAAAAATACACAAAAGTATTATTAAAATTGGTAAAAAATGACGAACTTGAACTTCCACAAACTTGGCGAGTTTATGAGAGAAGTTGTGATCAGTGTTGGGGGTAACGAAAAAACGCATTACAAGTAATGTGAGGTATGTAATCAGATTACTTTTTCCAAATAACTAGTAAAGTAACGCATTAGATTTTTTTTTTTTTGTAAATTTAAAAGTGAGTTACTTTTTTCAAATAAGTAATGTAAGTTACTTTGTTTCCCATTTATTTACTGAGTAAAGTTCAGAGGTGTTTATGCTGTGCATATATAATGGTTATTGGATTTTAGTTACTCAGTTTATTAAAGTCTTTGATGCTGACCTTTTAAGATCCAATTCAAACATACTAATAAGCAAAAATGACTAGATAAGATCTTTTTTTTTTGCTGAAGTAAGAGAGTTGACATTTCCTGCTTTCTATTACTCAGCCATCCAGAATAGTTTAAGCTGCGCTCTCTACTGTACAGCCGCGAATTTGCATTTCTTTCAGTCAAAGCTTACTCATTTTACTTTTGGAGTGAAAGGGCCTTTACATTTGCACACAAATAGGACTTTTGTGTATTTGTTATTAAAGATCAAACAAGCAAGCTCAGCTCAGGTGAGAAAAAAGTAAAGCTAAAGTAATGCAACACATTACCTTCCATGAAAAAGCAATTTGTAAAGCATTACTTTTAAAAGTATACCTTTCCCCATCACAAATTTGTGATGTTCAATTTGTGAACTAATCATTCTTGTGAATCAAATGTTCTCAACCTGTTAATCCAGTTCACAAAAACTGGGCTGCATTTAAATCCAATTGGTTATTCCCTTGCTAACGTTCCTCCGTCTCATTCACTCAGGTGTGCATCATTGCTTTCATTGCATGAGTGCTCGCTACTGGCGCCCTTGATCGCTTGGAATCTGCTATGGAGCTTTTTATAGTTTTTTTTTTCCCCATATGAATTTATTCTATGCATCATCTTATATGCCTGTATGTTTGGCCAGTTAAGTTAAATATAAACAAATATTAAATATGAATATATTTAAATTAACTAGAAAAAATAAACAAATGAAAATTAAACAATACAAAAAACTATAACTGTGTTTAAAAAAAGCTTAAGGTAGCTACAACTAGTATTAAAGGGAGTTAAATGTCAAAATAATGCCAATATCATACACTAGAGTTGTGTGGGATGGAGGTGAATTGGGAGCGACCTGCTGTGATGTCTCAACCATGGTGCATTGTAGATAATGGATCTGCCTGATGTTGAGTAGACGCGAGTCCCATGGTCAAAATCGAGGGGTAGAGGGTCTGTCTAAATAAACTTCTCTCGTCCAATGGACGAAGTTGGACGCACTTTAAAATGGCGGTGGGGAGTCCCAGAGGGGAAGTGCACAAGTATCAGTGGAGTAATCTTGTATTGGTCAAAATCATTCTAATCTGAATGGTTTTACTGATTAGTACGATACAGATCAGAATGATTTTCTAATCGCTAACTGATCCGTTTGCAACAGTTAACAGCTCTCTGGAGGGGAAGGTTATCAGTGAATAATGATATACATTTAAATACATTTCTCACAGTAAGTAATATTGAAGTTTTATGTAGCTTTTTTTGGGGGGGAGGGGGGTCATTTTGGAGCTCGACATTTGACGTTCATTAAATGGACAAGTGGTCAGGATATTTCTTCAAACATCTGCTCATCATAATGGAACAGAATGAGGGTGAACAAAGGATGACAGAATAAAAAAAAAGAAAAATAAAACATCCTTGTGATCAGTTCCAAGTGCAACAGGACCAAACAAGTAATCACCAGGACCACAAAAAGAAAAGAAAAAAAAAGAAAAAGAAACTTCCCACACAAGACTGAGCGCACATCGGCTATGTGCTTTATTTAATTTTGAACAGCTGCATAGTCATAGGTTTTCTCGTATATGTGCCAAAATAAGAATGAAAACAAAAACCTTGTGACTTCCAAATCATTCACGCTTTAATAAGCACAGATGTTCCTTCCCACATGTTAAAGGACACCTTTACAATCTTTTTACATTGACTGGGTCAGTATAATGGTGTTCCTCCTATCTCAGTTGGTTCACATCAGGGCAGTTGACACGTCTGAAAGCTCTTAACTTAACTTGAGCTCTTAAAGTGTCCGTTACAGGAAATCAGGACAGTTCACCGTTTCCTTTATGGATGTATTGACCCACATAACAACAGAGGAAACAGATATTAATAACTCTCCTGACTAAGCTTGACACACACGCTTGTTACAAATGCACTTTGAGTGGCTTTAAATAAAAAAATAAAAAACACGAATATATATGTATATATACATGTATAAAATGTCCATCCTCCTCAGTAACAGGAGCCACCCACTACATGAAAGTGTGGTTGCCCAACAAAGCAATCGCAGCGACCGTCTCCTCTCTATGCGCTGCAGGACTGAGAGATTCAGGAGGTCATTTCTTCCGGCCGCCATAAGGCTATACAATGGAACTGCTTGAAGTGCACTATGGATCTACTACTAATGATTGTAGAAGTTTGTTGTGGGACTTTTTTATCGACTCTTTTATTAACTTTTATTAATTGCTATTATTGGTGCTCTCTTTTATGTGTGTATAGTAGTGTGAATGTTTGCTGGAATCAACACACACTAATGCTGATGGACATTGAATTTCCCCTGGGGGGATTAATAAAGGCATCTACAATCTACAATCTACAAAATATTATACACACACACACACACACACACACACACACACACACACACACACACACACACACAGACAGAGAGAGAGAGAGAGAGAGAGAGAGAGAGAGAGAGATGTAGCCTACTATTTTTTACATTTGTTACATTGTCACATTTATATAATATATCATTATAATTTTAGATTTATATAGCCTATATTAGTAAGGAAACGCTGAAGGATGACTTTCTCAAATAACATGACATGATAACATTTATTTAGACATGCTAGTGATGCTACCTAGTTTAGATCGCGCTCTCTGTGGGTTTTTGACAATTACCAGAAATGGCTAGAAGACTTTATCTTATGTGGTGCTCAATGTGGCTGCAAAAACACACCAGTGACCTGAATGACAAACATTAGCCTCTTGTAAGCGATATAATTTGCATTGCATAGCATTATTTTCATGTCTAAATGTACATTATCCCATAGGTTATTCATGCAGTTTCGTGACTTAGCTAATACTGACTTGAAGTCAAACTAAAGTAATCCATCTCAACAATAATTGAATTAGTTTCTAATAGCGTGTTAAAGACGAACTTTGAAGGACAAAAACATCTTCATTATTTATAAATGTAGTAGAACGCCATAATAGTCTATATTATACATAAGGGACTTACGCTCTCATCTGAGGAAATCCCATCGACAGCAGCACGTCCAGATTGGATCCATGTTTGAGAGAGACGCAATTGTTCTGTCTCAGTCTGCGCGGAATAATCTTTGAGTAAAGATCCTCCTTTGCTGCCATCCTTAGTCCCAATCAAATGATACTGACGATAGTCGGGTACGACACATCCACATCTGCTTATACTGTCTGCAATAAGCGCATAATCGGTCCCTCCTCCTGACAGCGGCAGCGTATGTTTGTATACAGTAGTAGTACAGTAGATTAACAAGCTATAATGTCTGCGTCTCAAAAACAGTCAGTCACCTACAATACTAAAACACATTTGACCATCAGGCGGGTTTCAAGCTCAGCATATTTGAGCAACGCGCCTGTATGCCAAAAAAGAAAAAGAAAATTACAGCTATCTAGGCAGGTCACGTGGTTTTAGACACGTAGCTCAAGTGTTATGCTTGTCAAACTAGCGTTCACTCGTCATGCTTGACACTGACGTTCTATAATTAATCTAATTTACCTAAAAGTACAAAGTTAATAAGGTTTTACATTACTGTTAGGCTAGCCTACACACATGACCTGAAATAACAAGTATGTAAAGTGAGTCAAAAGGATTTATTTATTTCATTAACAACATATTGACAAAATCTACTATGACAACATGGGAGAATTTTTTGGTGGTAATTTGGTAGTGCTGACTATAATAATACATAGACCGATATAATTGAATAAAACCTTTCATTCGCAACCACGTCTTATTAAAATAAAGAAAACACTTTTGGCTCTGCACAAAAACCTCTTTACGACACAAGAACAGGATGGGAGTGGAAGGTCATTGCAAGGCCTTGTTTCTCGTTTCTGTCTGAAACGTACAACAATTGGAGCCCCACCTGCCGCTAAACAATGACCTGTGATTTTGAAGTCTGAAATAGGAAAGCATTGAGTTCATTTAAACTTATGTTTAAAACTGGTTAATATATATATATATATATATATATATAAGGGATAGTTCACCCAAAAATGTACATATTCTATCATCATTTACTCACTCATGTCATTCCAAACCTGCATGACTTTTTTCTGTGGAACTTTCTTTAAAAGAAAGTTAGTAACCAAAAAGCTTTGGCTACCACTGAAATCCAAAAAAATCTTCAAATATCTTCTTTAATGTTCCACAGAACAAATAAAGTCATACAGGTTTATACTGTATATTGTAAAAATACAAATTTTAGGGTGAACTATGTATTAAGCAATGGTCTTTTAGCAAAGCCTTGATATGTCAGCTTCTTGGCCAACAATTAATACAACCATTTCTCTGAGTGATCAGTTCTGACCCTGCACTGACGGGTCATAAGGCACAATTAGACAAAACACACATCCCGCCTCTTGGAAAGCCCTCTTCATCTCCACCTAGTGGTAAAACATGAAATATATTTTTACACTGGGGCACAAAAATATATACCACTTCCAGTTCAATTTAATTTCAAATCAGCCAGTTAAACAAGATCTGTTTATGATAGCTTAGGCGGTTCATAATTAACTCATAATTACAAGTTGGAATGTCACGCTTCTCTAACGTGACTGTTTTATGTCGTGAAAACAACAAAACTGGCAGCAGTTTAAAGTAGATCGGTAGCTATACATACACTAGGTTGCAAAAGTTTGGGGTCATTCATTATTTTCTTGAAATAAATAAATAATTTAATTAAACAAGGGTGCATTAAATTATCAAGTGACAAGTTTTCAGCAATACCAAGTAATAAATGTTTCTTGAGCATCAAATCAGCATATTAGAATGATTTCTGAAGAATCATGCAATACTGACTAATGATGCTGAAAAATCATCTTTGCCATCACAGGAATGAATTACATTTTAAAATATTAAAAGGTACAATATGTAAGAATTTTGTAATAAAATATCCAAAGATCACTTTCAAAGTGTGATATATTTCCTGCAGTTGTGTACGTACAATATCCCCAAAAGTCTCCAAAGATTTTATTTCAGAGAAATTCCAATTTTAAATAAGTGGCCATCTAGGAAAATAAATGTTGCCTGTCAATGACGCAATATCCGCACTATCCTCGATTTCCGTTCATAGATGGCCATGACGTAACCATGGCGACAGACATGGACAACTGCATAGTGCGTAACGTTTAGCGGCACGCAGTTCTTGTTTCTTTCAAACACAAACCATGCAGACTTTGGGACAAACTAAGAGAACAAAAATGAGGATCAATATCAGCATGGCGTTTTTTTAAATGCCGAGAGCTCCACGTCTGCGACTGACTTGACAGAGCTTCACAAGTCAACTGCTGAAACTGCTAGTTTCGTATAGCAAACGAACTAACAAGTAGTATGGCATTATAACTTTCAAGACACATTTAAATGCCATTTAGTGTGATAGTGTAACGTTAGACCAAGTGAAGCAGCACTGCGTTACCTCAAGTTTAATTTGACTAATAAACTGACCTGTGTGAGTAATCCAGCACTTGCGGGTAGTTTGGTAGAATAAATCTCCTTATTCATTTATATCCGCCTCTTTAACAATCGCAACCTGCTTCATACCACTGTAATGTTAAAAAGCATCAATGTTTGCACTCATCCATAAAAATGATTAGATCCATCAGCTTGACAGCAAGTCCCATCATTCCGCTCATCACGGCATCATAAACCTACGCCTTCGTTATTGTTGGAAACTGTGCCCCGGCAAAAAAAACCCTACATATTGTGCCTTTAAATATTAAAATATTTTAGATCAAATAAATTCAGTCCTGATGAGCATCAAAAACATTAAAAAAAAAATCTTAAAGACCACAAACCTTTGAACACTATTGTACATTTATGTTTGATATGATTCATAATGTCTTAATATAGAATCATTTCAATTACAAAGCAAAGACATTAAAATGGTTTACAGACAGTGTATCAAGAACAAAAGTTTTGATGTTATGAAAGTTAGAATTTCCCATAGCACGTGAATAGCTCGGAGTAGAATCCTAAGTTAGCTGTTGCCTCCTAATTACAGTAATTCACACATTGCATAAATTAAATTACAAAAAAGCAAGTATTATATAAAAGTCAAAAGATCTGCCCTACCAGCTGCTCTTGGTCCGTACACAAGCCCACCACAGCACCACCACTGCCGGGCAATTTGACGGCAGATTCAAACTGCACAGACAAGGAAAAAAATCATTCAGATGTGCAGCCTTTTCTCTGCAGGTCAGATTACTTCTAGTATTGTGGAATAACTTAGTGCACCAGTTAATTTACCACATATATTAGGGGAACAATGCATTGACATTCATTTACCTGTCTTGCAAGCTGTACCATTTTCAGATTTCCAGGGCCCAAGCAGTCTTCAGTATACACCGACCTGATGGCAAAATGTAACTTCAACAGTGGTATCTATATAGCTATTTATAAATGAACTAATATTATAATCCTGTTTGATTTAAACCACATAATGAAGGATTCATTGTTGGTTCTTTTAGCTTAAAACTACAATGTTAACCCACAGATTGGGGGGTTATTCAATTTAATACATCATACCGCCTTAGCTCAAAGTTTTCATCCATGAGTTGTGCGAGTCTGGCCCAGTCCTTACACAGGAAGGCAGCCCTGGATACGGTGAAAAAAACTTTTAAATGATCCGAATTTTACACGAAACGTACAACGCTACAATTATTGAAGGTCCAATGCTCAAAGATGAACCAACCGGGCTTGGTCTGTAAGTTCAGCAAACGATTTCATCGCTTCAACCACAGCAGAGTCACCTGTTCAGAAAGAACAAGACTTGTAAAAAGCTTTATTCATTCACTATCAAAACATAAACCAAGACATAAAGCAGGAGTTACCGTTTAACCATCGCTGTCTAACATTACTGTGAATCCGTCCAGAATCACTTGGATCGCTCAAGTACGCCAGCCAGAACAAGGGAAGATCGTTCATGTCCAAGGGAATGTACTCTCCTTTATAAGAGAATAGATTGACATGGAGTTAAGCCACTTAAAATGTAGGTTTCTATAGCAAATGCACTACCGTTTAAAATTTTTGGGGGATATAAATGTATACTTTTATTCTCCAAGGATGCAGTGACAGTAATGACTTTTACAGTCTAAATTTCTAACTTAAAAAATGAACTTCCCATTCATTGAGCAGCAAATCAGAATGATTTCTGAAGACACTGAAGACTGGAGTAATGATGTAGAAAATGTATATACTGTATTTTCAATTCAATATTTTATAATCTTACTGTCATCACTGTATTTTTGATCAAATAAATACAACCTTGGTAAGCATAAGATAGATCAAAAACATACACGTTTTTAGGTTTATATACAGTACCATAATTACATTTTTATTAATATTCCCCAGAATAATATTTCTGTTCAAAGACAGTACCATAACCCCGCTCATCCATAAGCTGTTTGTTGAAGTCCATGTAAACCAAGCCTTCATAGACCTATTAGAAAGTTAATACAGAGACTGTCATGTTCCACACAGTAAGATTGGTCAAATTAATATGCACACACATATATATATATATATATATATATATATAATTATAAATATATATATATATATTAGGGCTGTGCAAAAATTAATTGCGATTAATCGCATCCAAAATAAAAGTCTGTGTTAACATTATATATTTGTGTGTGCTGTATATAATTATTTTGTATATATAAATACACACACATGCATGTATATATTTAAGAAAATGTGTTATTCATATATAAAATATTTATATTTATATAATATAGATTATGTATTTATATATATAAACAGAGTTTAAGCGCAAATAATTCTTAAATATATACATACATGCATAGGTATTTATATATACAAAATAATTATAAACAGTACACACAAATATATTATGTAAACACAGACTTTTATTTTGGATGCAATAAATCGCAATTAACTTTTGCACAGCCCTAATATATATATATATATATATATATATATATATATAATTACAAATATACAATTAATAATTATAATTATAATATTATACATCACCTGCACAACTCGATCCTGTAGACCAGCTGTGATGAACAGCTCATCCGTCTCTACATTGAGGATGAAGTTGGCTCTGACTGGTTTAGGAAGATCCTGACTCAGGAATCAGGATAAAGTTTATGTAAGCTAATAGTTTTTTCCAACATTAAAAAGTAGTTCTAAATCTATGGTCAATGCTGAACATACATTGTCTGTGATGTTGTAAAACTTCATCAGGCACTTCAGTGTGGCAGACACAATAGCACTACAAAGAAAACACCCAAATGCTAATGTTAGAATGCTCTAATTTGACCCCAATAACAGCAGATGAAAATAATGAATATAATGCATCTTGTTTGATTACAAATCAAATAGACATGAACAAGCTTTGGAGAAACTGATTGTTAATGTTCATTGAGGTTTGGAGTCAATGCTTTACTTACCTACTGCCAGCTAAACCCTAGAAGACATCAAAGAAATGTAGTACAGCATTACTCCACATTATTAGTTCTTCAACTTTAGATAGACAACTGCAAATTCTCATTAGTAATAAGTCTTACCACTTGCCGAGGAATGTTTGTGTCATACTTGAGAGTAAAATTCTGCTTGGACAGAGCAATGCTGTCAGCAAAATAAAAAGCAAATACAGTCAGTGTCTTAAGGCCCTTGCACACCGAGTCTGAACTCTTTGTATGCGTGTTTGTGATTCGGTGGCTCTGAATTGTCAAAACATCATTCAGAACTGCTTGCTACAGATGCGAAAGACACAGAAAATCAAACTCGATTTGATTTTTTTTTTATAATGGACGAAAGTTTCAGAGGCAATGTGAAAGCATGATTGACATAACGTGAGGTCGTATTTATTTTTTAGCGTGTGAAAGTTTCAGACTCGGTGTAAAAGGGCCTTTAATCATTCCAATTACACAACAGATCTTTTCTTCTGTATTATTCCATACACACACAAGTCTAATGGATTATCGAAAAAATATAGCTCAGGGATTTGAATCATTCCAGTGGATGTTGATTGTTTTTGTTTTTTTAAATTAAAGTTTAATAAAATCAGTTTGCAATGAAATCTACACTGTAAACAATATTGTTGGTTTAACTTAAATTATAAGTTCACTGAAATTGAGAAAATGAGTTAATACAATGAAGGAGATGAATTTAATCACCAGAAACTCAAAATATTATGTTGTGTGAACTACATAAATTATCTAAGTTGATTTGACAAAAGAAAAAAATGTTGTGATTACAAATCATGAAAATATATTTTATAGTGTATGATCTCCAAAATACTTATAGATCAATTATTATCTTAATTTTTATACTGTAAATCCTAATGATAATGAAAACACATTTGTCATGTTGTCATACATGACTAAATGTATTGCTGTCCAATTACAATGAAGAGACAAACTTATATGTCTATTACAATATAGTACATAGAACAATACTTCAATAAAGAGAGTATTGAATTTAAAAAGAGACACTGCCATCGTATCACTGTATTATCTACATAATCCATGTCTACATAAAGTGATTGGACCCTGATAATCACGACGTTAAGAATGTATGTATTCAATTATGTTTATTGGATCTCACCCTTGTTCAGAGCAGAACTGGTAAAACTTTTTACAGGTGGCTTGTAGAAGTCTCAGACCTCCCAAATACCTGTAAGGTAAATAAATGAATATTAATCATAATAATTGGTTTGGTTGTATTGTAAACATTCTGCAGAATAATATCATTTTCTGTTCTACTGAAGAAGGTAGGACATATGGGTTTGGGTCGACATGAGAGATTGTTCATTTTGCACGGTTTAGTTTAAAGTGTCCTTATTGAGACAAATCTGAGACAAATAATTGATGTTCGGACAAACCCTTCTTTCCGGCTGATCTGAAAGAGATCCTGCAAGCTTCCGAACTCCGTAGGGTCGTTCAGGGGATGAGGTAGAATGGCCTTAATAAAAACAGTGAAATGAATGAAGAACAGTGCTTTTTTTGATGACTTATCTTAGTCTGTTATTTGTTTTGTTTTACCAGAGTCTGGCTCTCCATGAGTGTGACCTCAGCCCAGAAATTAGCAATGGTCATAGCAATGGTTTTCCCATTGAAACCATCAGAAGGGTTCCCCATGAGTCCAACCCTGAAAGTGAACACGCAGACCTATGCATGTATAGCAATGAAAAGCAGGTAGGCATTTGTGGACACTAGCTAATGTGCTCTGACTGACCTGGCATATGAGCGGCATGTAATAGGTTTAGATGGGGACAGCTGCTGTTTAGAAGAATAGTGAGTGAGCCATTTCTTGTAATCAGACAGACCCTGTAATAAAACATGTTAAAATTCTCAACAAGTATTAATACAAAATTTACATTGATAATATAAAAATAAATGTTTTTCAACACCAAGGATAACTATAATGATAATGATAAAGATAGTTTTAAAACTCGTTGTGAATACAAAAAAATAGCAGAGTTCACAACTATAACAATAATGGCACAGAGTAAAGATATGATTGGAATCATTTTCAGAATGATTTTTATTTCAGCTGAAGAAAGATAAAAACATTGGCAGCCAATCAGAATCCATCCTCCAGCATTTAAAGTGGCGGACAAACCTGCATCCTTAGGATAAACAGCATTATCGTTTGTTGATGTTGATGTTAATACAGTTATAGTCATCATGGTTATCTTTATAGTAATTGTTCTCAAAAATGCTTTGAGAATTATTTTTGAAGGATCATGTGACACTAAAAACTAAAGTTAAGGCTGCTGATATATATATATATATATATATATACACACACACCAGACAGGATATATATTAACCTACATAATGCTACATTTGTACCCACCACTTGTCCAATAAGTTGAAATCCTGTTGGTAACTTCATCCCATAAACAGGAACCTTCTCCTCATTTATAATCCATTCCTACAACCAGTAAAATCCTATTTAATATTGAAGTTAACATTACATTTAAAGATACAGAAACAAAGGTTTAATGCTTCACATTTTAAAATTCAAAGATAATTTAAAACATTTACCCAAAAAAAGCCAAAGGTTCTATCTTTAACGTCTGGGTGTTGAACAAGGAAATCGGAGATGTACTGTAAGGACTCTTTACGTAGACAGTAGAACACCACACTTGCCAGACGGGATGCGGTGACGCCCTCCCGAGGCTTCTCAATGAAGCGCGTGACCCTGGTGTGAACATAGATTCAGAATCTTGTAATGAATGCTTAAACTCAAGTGATGCTCACTGCAGAGCCAAATGACGTCCATCTTCTAACTCCACCCATTATGCTAATGACATCTAGAGATGTCTAGCCACCCATGGCTCTGCAGTAAGCAGCCTCTCCATAAAAAAAAAGAAAAAAAAAAAGATCATCTTCCATCAGGGCAAATATATTAAAAATGTCTCATTGTCAGTTTGAATTTTAAAATGCTACTTTTTATTTATGTCTACATACATATAAAACATAAGTATACATGTTGACATTTGTAAAAAAAAAACGACAAAAAAAAAAATCAGCCATCATAACGTCACTTTTATATCTTAAAGTTTCTTTTTATTTATGTTGTGGAGGATTTTTAATAGATAAGATTAATTATGTTACTAATCATAAAAATCTGATTTTAGATATTTATCTTATGATAAACTTTTATCACACTTCCCATTTTCATGTCTGATGGTGACTAGCCTTCAATTCTAGACCTAAATCTTACTTCCATTTATTTAGGATGTAGCTACCAGAACTTTCGATATGATCTAACCTTCTAACGAACTTTTGACTTAATGTAACCTTGGTCAATGGAACTTTGAAAATGGACTAAAACGGGGGGGGGGGGTCACTTTCTTTAAACATTTTAACCAATCATATTGATGGAGCGTGACATGTTAGTCATGATGATTCTAGTTTGATGTGTCTGGCTTTATCCTATAAAGCTGTATTCTTCTTTTGGGTTGAGATTCTCTGAGTCTCTGCTCGAAAACTCCCGGCCATAATAAGAGTATTTAAAGGACAATTACAGTCTGTCTGTCATGTGCAGCAAGCAAGCAAGTTAAAATTATAGGATTAGACTCGGCTGTAGTCAACTGAACACTCGCTAGAGTATAGGATTAGACGCATGCTGTAGTCAATTCGAGACTTGCTAAAGTTTAGGTAGGGAACTGATGCTGTAGTCGACTCGCTGAAGTGTAAACTTAGCTAACGTCAATGTTTAGGCACGCTAGAGTATAAGTATTATAGGAACGTAGATAGGTTTAGGGAAAAATATCTACAACAATGTCCATAAGTAGTATGTTTATATTCAATGATTATGTCTAAACCGTCAAAACGTATTTCCATTCTATGACATTTTAAAAGGAGAATTAAGAACAAAACTCTGCTATTTAAAGTACATAAAATTGCTAATACATAAATAAAGTAAAAAATATTTTTACTTTTACTCCAACCTGGCAAGATATTAATGTCTATTTCTATGGGGGGTTTTTTAATAACAGATGCAAATGCATTTTAAAGCACTACTTTTTTACTTTACAAGTATGTTTATATAATATTTACTTGGCTCTTCATGTTCATTTGATGTACATTTCGCTTGAATCATGATTTTACTGATAATGTCAAATACTTTTCCATTTAATGATAAATGGAATAAATGATAATGTATAAAATCCTGCTATTAAGAGGACATGACAATGGCCATTGAACACTCCATTTTTTTTTTTTTAATAATGAATCTATACTAATCTTGGCTAATTTTTATAATATCAGAGGGTACTTCTATCTTCCTAGCCTGGTAATACAAGACTCTAGCGGAAGTAGGAAGTCTGACGTAGTCAGGCTAACTTCTTCCATGAAAACTCAACAAAAATAAAAGTAAAGATGCTGTGTCATGTCTCACCGATGGGTGTTCGGACACACTTCAACAATTCCTCTGGAGAAGCTCTTCTCTCCTGACTCCAGCTCATAATATATAGCAAGTTCTCCAGGCTGAAGTATTAAATTGTAATGAGAATTAAAACTGAGCCGAAGTGACACATATTTTTGCAGGTTAAATAAGTAGAAAATAATGATATAAAGTTGAAATGATAAGAGTAAATACAGTTGTGTCTGTGTCACATGAGAATCCAACTATGGTGCAAGCAGGAAAGTACTATGTTTGACATCCCACCCACAAGAATCAACTTGTAACAACACAGTCAATTTAAGTCTCTCTTACCTTAGATCTGAAAAAGCGAATGACTTGTGCAATATCGAAGTTTTGATCAGCACAAAGCATGTCTCCTGCAATCTGCAAATGCAATATACACAGAATTGAAAACAGCCCTTTCAATTTAAGATTTATGTCAAATAAAATAGGTTTTGGAAAAAGGTGTGACTAAATGGATATTGTGTAGTGTTTTAATAGCTCAATTCAGTGTCATACCACCATAATGTCATCTTGTAGCTGTCGGCTTCGGATGGCCAATTCAAGGTCTGCAACAGCCCCGAGTCTGTCATCCAAAGTAGTGCTTCCATCATTCACAACATTTTCCACTGGAAAGTCATTGGCTGTTGCCCACCGCTCATAGTGTTTGTATCTGAATTGAGTTTTGAACCAATAAGAATTTTAAATTAGTTTAATGGCTGCTATTGTGTATCTTAAACATACAAAAAGCCACACTTCCTGCACTTATTTTCACACAAAAAATAAAAAAATACTAGTTACAAACCTAGAACAAATATGACTTACTTATCAGCATTCGTGACCAGATAGACTTCACTGAAGAGCTGGCGACTGGGAGAGAGGGTAAATACTGTGTTGCATTAGTTTGCATTGAAAACACCTTTCACAATGATCCAAACAACAGATATAATGGCTTACGTGTTGACGGTTTCCCACCAGAAATCCAATATTTTCTTTCCACCCACTCCAGGTAACAGAGCTTTGGGGACACCGGCCAGATGAGCATACAGACCTGTAATATCACTCTTGAAATATAGACATGTTTATAATTGCATTACATCTTTTCTTTCTTTCTTTTTTTTTTTTGAAATTAACAACGTGGCATTATAGTTATTACAAACGCTAACTAACTGCAAAATGACACACGTTTTAGGAAAACATAATCGTTTTTGCAGCTGCTCACATGAAAACGTTTAACGTTAAATCAGTTGATTTACCTTAATCTGTGTCTCTAAAACCGTGCCGTGCCCGGCAACTAACAGTATGCAAATCATTATTCCGGCTTATTATTTATTTGAAATAGTAACGCATAGTCCTTCCATCAAAGGGTGAGTAGAAAGTCCATAGTGCAAGGGCAACTACACAACTTGAACTTACTCACGTCACCGGAAACCCTTCAAATCCTTAAAGAGACAGGCTCATGATTTCAGTTGTAATGTGGCAAGCCGTTTTAACATTTGGTAATGTAAACAACAAACTATTTGATTGTTTGTATACTAGTAGTACTAGACTAGTAAAAATGACTAGTACACCAAATACTAGTAGACTTGCTTATTCAAAATACACAATAATTGATCCCAATTTCAGTTTTCACTATAGTGATGGTAGCTTTATAAGTAATGACTAGTCAGAATGGTTACTTTATACATACCCCTATTCACTTCTGATTAGTGCTGTTAACTAAATTAATTTGTTTCAGGTTCCAAGGTCTAACCAGGCTAACCAAGGTCTTCAGGATTATTAGAAACATCTGGGCAGGTGTTTTGGAGCTGGTTGAAGATAAACTTTATAGCCCTCGAGGAGAAAATAGCCCTCGAGGAGCGGAGTTCGACACGTGTGTCATAGTAGAAGGTCTAAGAACATTGAAAGCAGATTCTGTTCTGGATGACCCTTGATTTTTAAGTCTTTATCCTTTTCGCTTACCAAATATTTGGTACTTAGACAAAAAAAATCTGACTGATTCCTTGAGATATTTTTGTTATTTATGTTAAAAACAAAATATTTGACAAGTAAAAAAAAGGCATAACATAACAACATACACTGAGGTGTTGAAACACAAAACATTCTTAAACCAGAGGCTACAAGAATGGCAGGGGAAATCTGTCTATTTATTTCAGCACTCTGAATAGTGAAATCTACTATGATACTATATGTTGTAAATTGTCAATTAATAGGCAGTTATTTTACATGCTAATTATTTGAACAAAATAAATTGAAAAACCTTCTGAAAAGTATAAAAAATGCATTAATAACAAATATTTGACATGTATAATTTTCACAAATTTAGAAGTAAAAGTACAAAATGAACAAATTCTGCTGACCTGTCCTGGTACATAAATATGAATGCTAAATTACATTGAAGTACAGGGGCTGGAAGGCGCAAAAAAATCAAAAAAAAATAAATTATGTACATAAGGCAAGATCCTGATGGAGAATCATCACCAGCAGTGTGTTCCGGGGGCATGGGAGGTCCTCCTAGGTTGAAATCAACTTCTGGGGGCACCGCAATCTGACCGAAAGTGCACTTTCTGTAAGCAATTTAAGTCCACACCACTGATCACCAGTAGGTTGAAAACTGCAATATGTAAGTCATGCATTATGCGTTGTTCAAGGTTGTTAAAAAAAACTGCAGAAATGTGCATTGGAAATCTCCATTTCTAAAACTCCATCATCCTTAGAATTCTTCACTGGGAATCTGCATTTGATGCTGCAACTATGCCGTGCTGTCGGAGTAGGTTCCTCAAAATCTGATTCTTAGATTTCCAATCTTCCACCTTTAAAAAACAATAAGACAAAATAAAACTCTCAATGAGAACAATACAAAAAAGAGAAATAAAGAAAGTGATAAAGACAGATAAAACATGTCAAGTCACCTTTATTTACTGTATATTATGCTTTCTACGATACAGTGCTTGCTTACCGTTTTGAATATCAATCATGCTGATCACGTTTTTTATTTCACTCGCTCCTGTTATTATATGAAAATATTTGCGCATTGAATGCTCGGGGGTAACATGACGTAAAATTAGAACAGCCTTCTGTCTGTGCCGTCATGACTTCTTTGCTTTCTTTCGTCACCTTTGCTCTTATTCTTGTGTTCGCTAAACTGAACAGATATAATTCAGCTATAATTAAGTTCACTCTAACCGACGGCCCAGCACCGATTCTACATGTTCAAATCGGACCAAAAAAAAACAACATGGTCCGACTAGAGCCAACGGTGCAGAACTGACCGAAAAAGTCGGTTGGTAGATAAAGATAGATTAGAGAGATAAAGCCTAAAATGTTCATGTTGATCTTGGTTTTGCCAATTAATTTTAAATAACAAATTAATTTAAAGTTAGTTAGTAAAACCTTTCCCTGTGATTAATTTTGACTAGGGCTGTCAAACGATTAATCGCGATTAATCGCATCCAAAATAAAAGTTTGTGTTTACATAATAAATGTGGGTGCACTGTGTATAATTATTTATATATATATATATATATATACAGTATATATTATATACTGTATATATTAGGGCTGTGCAAAAATTAATTGCGATTAATCGCATCCAAAATAAAAGTCTGTGTTTACTTAATATATTTGTGTGTGCTGTATATAATTATTTTGTATATATAAATACACACACATGCATGTATATATTTAAGAAAATCTGTTATTCATATATAAAATATTTATATTTATATAATATAGATTATGTATTAATATATATATATATATATATATATATATATATATATATATATATACAGAATTTAAGCGCAAATAATTCTTAAATATATACATGCATGCATAGGTATTTATATATACAAAATAATTATATACAGCACACACAAATATATTATGTAAACACAGACTTTTATTTTGGATGCGATTAATCGCACTTAATTTTTGCACAGCCCAAATATATATATATATATATATATATATATATATATATATAAATACACACGCATGCATGTATATTTAAGAAAAAATATATATTTTATATATAAAATATTTATATTTATATATAATATAAATTATATATAAATCTATATTCAGTATATACATGAAAATATTTCTTAAATATATACAAGCATGTGCGTATTTATATATATAAAATAATTATACACAGTGCACCCACATTTATTATGTAAACACCAACTTTTCTTTTGGATGCGATTAATCGCGATTAATCGTTTGACAGCCCTAATTTTGAGATTCAGGTTCACTGTGAAATTTAAACTAGTCTAGGATCAAAACTATAATTAAAGTGCAACTGAGTTATTAGACTAATTTAATCTAGATTTAAAATTAGCCCCAATTGATGCAAACAAGTAAAATACCTCTTGCCGTAACAGTTGGTTATCCATCCTCAACCTGTCAAGGCTGTTCATTTCATCTCCTAACCGGCTGTTACTCTGTCGCAGCTCCTGAATGTAATCGCAGGCCTTTGATAGAATCCCACCCTTACTCTGTAACACACAACAGCAGATATAACGGGTTATGTTAGGTCTTTTGTAGGTGCTTCGTTAAATAAAGAGCCATTTTACTCAGATCAAAGATGAGCATAACTGATGTCCATCACATATGCAGACTGATATCGAAGGTATTTATTTTTCTAACATTGAGATATTTAAATCGAATAAAACATCAACAATAAAAAGATCTAGCTAGGTTAGCTGATAACCTTAAAAGTCCATAGATATTGCTGCAAACACATTCACAAAACTAACACACACCTGTCCAGTTTTAGTGGCATCGATGGTGCAGTCTGGAATTGTTTTTGACAGCTGAACAATCCAGTTGTTAATTTTGTCTCTACGTCTTCGCTCAACTGTAAAGTGGTTTGAAAATAATCACTCAAAAACATATTACACAACAAACTGCATGTAATAATTTTTTCAATTGAAAATCTTTACCTTCGTTGTGCTGAGCTCGCCTTTTATCATCTCTAGAAGCTCTTGGTCCCTCTGACTTACTGCAAATATTGAAAAAGTGTTACAACTGTTTTTTTCTTCTTCTTTGGAACCATAAGCTAATCCATGAATTCAAAACGTTAATGTCTAGGGAGAAACAATGAGTTGTATTAGCAACACTTCAAAGTTTGGAAATACAACTTACAACAGATACTTACAACAAAAAAACAGTAGCTTAAATACCTCTGCTCCCAACAACTAGAATACGGAAATAACTTTTACTGTATCTTCTGATAGCACTAAAAAAAAAAGGGATGTTCTTCCTCAGTATATTTGTCTTTCAGTTGTTTTTCCAGCACAAATGTCTAAAGATTCTTAAATCAAGATGCATTTACTAAATTATGAACAGCATTTCATATTTATATAGCATTTATATATATATATGAACCATGAAGATGGTTTGGCCGTGTTTATGCAAATGACTCAACCCGAGATGCCCACCATTCAACCAGAAAGAAGTCATATAACCATTTCAATAACTCTGAAGCTTTTCATTTAAGCTAAAAAAGCTGCATAGTGTCCCTTTACGACCCGCAAACACCTTTTCGTACGTTTATTAACAGCTTAATTAAATAAACTATATTTTAACATTTAATATAAAATAGAATAATGGCATGCTTAGACTGGTATCAAAATAATAAATGGAGTTTTTTTTAATAAATTGAAATTATTTTTTATTATTGTTTGTGGTCACTGTGGTCAATAAAGATAGCGAAACAGCAATAACTGAAAAGAGAAATGTATTAAACGACTGAGTGCTTTTAAGAGGCTGGAAAAGGCAACATTACGCATTGTAAGGTTGTATACGAGGTGCAATAGACCTCTGGTTGGCTCCAGTAAGGACCTCCTGCGGAGACATCATAACATACAACTGACCTAAACCAGGAGCAAAAAAAAACAAACAAATAAATAAATATAAAGAAAAGCCAAGCTGCTTTGCAACATAACTGTTGCATTGTTGTGTATTCATGCAGATAACCGAAATTGAAAAGGGTGATGTACCTGCAGGAGCACTCTGACTAAGCAGAGCATCTGAGGCCTGAACACTAGTCACCATTGTGCCTGCTGCAGCGTCTGAGATAGTAGCAGGATAATATGTGTAATGGGTTTCTGTGCCATCTCCATCTAAGCCTTCTGAATGAGAGAAAATCGCCTGAAAAACAGATTTAAATTAAGTTAGTTGTTATCAGATTTATTAATATTATCTACTTCAGATAAAGGCTTTTCCACCTGTGTGACAGGCTGTGTTGTAGCCGGAAACCCAGTAACTACACTGACAGCTGTTGCACCATCAGTTTGAGCTTCCAGCTGTCCATCTGCTACCTGGATTACTCGATATGTAACCTGAAGAAAATTAAGATGGAAAATGATGTTATGCAATACAATTTTTCAGAACAACACTCGTCTGTACTACCTAAAGTGAAAAAAGAGAGAGGTCACAGCTAAATCTTTCTGAATCATCCATCAGAAAGAACCTTCTATGGGAAGAATTTAGGTTGGTTTAAACCTGGTATTAACATCTGTCTGGTATGGACAGCAGCACTAAATCAATTTGTAAAATTGTTCTCAAAAAAGCACTCAAAAGGCCATGTCTGTGGTATGTTTGAGAGCAAAAGTGAGCCTGTCTTTCTTGACTGACTTGTGATCAGATGACTGAGACGAATGTCACTACCAGGTGTAAACTGGGCCTAAGTTCTTACTCAGGCAGGTTTGAATCTAACTTTTCCTCCCCATCTCCTACCTGCCCTGAGGGAGGGTACAGCTCCCCTACCTGCCCCCCAGCTCCCTCTGTCTTGAAGAGGTATTTGATCGGCTGCTCCGAGGAAAACGTAGATGCAGACTGAATAGTTGCGATTGCCGATGGGTCCTCTGCAGTAGCAACTGCCCCTGAGAAAAGAAACCACACACATCAATTCTCAAAATATATTTTTTTCAAAACTGACATTACTGCATTGCTTAATCTGATAATACCTTCTTCAATGACTGGAACATTGACATCAGGTTCAGAACTTTTCTGTTGTCTGAAAACAATATTTTAGATCATAATCTAGTTATACTGTAGCACATATTCAGATCATTTCTAATCAGTGACAGTAATACTTGCTGCTACTAACCCTTTCATATCCACAGTCAGTATGTAACAGGAAAAAGTGCCTTTACTCTTGTTGCCTGATCAAATCTGTAATGAAACCAAAAAAGAAAACCAACTATTTGAACGTCGTTAGCACCAAGTAAAGTTACTTATGATAACCATTATTCACAGAACTGGCCAATAGGAGTCACTTCCTCCTTACATTATTGCGCTGGTTGTATTACAAGGTATATATTTTATAATGAAATTAATAAATACTGAATTCATATTCATAGATTCATGAGCCATACAAATGGACATTATAGACTCGGTTCAAAGGATAGCTAGCTAACGTTAGCTACTACTAGTAACGTTACCAGAGCTATCTGGAAAGCATAACGTTAGACAAATAACGAAGCATGTGCTACGAACGATAATTTGCATCTACGTATAGCTATCATGAAATTGGTGATGAAATATTGAAAACAAACATGAGATTTCATTTACATCTCACCGTTAACTGTTCTTGTGTCTTCTTGTTTACAAAAGGCAACCGAGCGCTTCGGTTTCTGCGCATGCGCACATAATCAGCTCCAACACAGCCAGGACATCATCGTCAATGATACTAGTACTGCGCCTGCGGGATGTGGAGATGCTGGATGTGGAGGTCCTGGGCTGGTATGGGTTCACATGATGTGAGGCCGGTTGGATGTACTGACCATTTCTCTGAAACGCCTTTGGAGACGGCTTATGGTAGAGAAATGAACATTCAATTCAATGGCAACAGCCCTGGTGGACATTCCTGCAGTCAGCGAATGAATGTGTTTGGGATGCTCTGGATCGTTGAATATAAAAGCGTCTATCAACTTTGCACAGCCATTGAAGAGGAGCTGTTTTGATACAATCTAAATTGTAAAAAGCACAATATAAAGGTGAATTGACCTGACTTGGCTTGGATAGAAAAAAAAAACGCTGGTAACGTTAGGTTTCGACAAGCCTTGTCGACCATTAACAATGTTCTGAAAGTAGGCTAACCCCAAGCTATGTCAACGCTAACTGTTTTATCCACAAGACATATACTACATATAATTTACTGTTTTAAAAATGTCATGCATGTATAGTTTTATTGGTTTACGTTAAATCAATATGACAATAGGAAACATTGATAAATAAATATTCCTAAAAAATATTATTTATTACATGTTTAAAAGTGTGATAAAATAAACAGAGTTAAACAATCAGGCGATTTCAGTATTTATTGTGTGGAACATATTTAAACAAAATTATTTTCATTATGTGAAACATGAAAGAAAAATCAAGGTAAATAGGCCTATCACTTGTGAGCAGATTATTTTTTTATTGTGTGCTATTTTCATTCACGCTGTAATGAATTTCTTCCATCTGCTGAACACAAAAGAAGATATTTTGACAATGCCTTCAATAGTATGGGAAAAATATTAGGGAAGTCAATTGGGCAAATTAGCTGTTTGTTTACCCATCAAAATATGTTATTTTGTCTTCAGCAATAGAAAGAAAGTCATACAGGTTTGGAACAACGTTACGTGAGGGTGAGTAAATGATGACAGAATTTTCATTTGTGTGGTTAAGCGTTTTCAACCCAAGCCATCAAAAGGAAAAGGAATGCCATTCCAGACCAGAAGTACTTTTCACATTTTTATTAAATATTAACAAGACAAACATCTTCTGTGTATTAACTTGCAAGGATGAATTGGTAAGACAAGTAATGTGTCCTGACAAAGTAAATAGGGTCTTTTTTTTATTTAATGAGGACTTTTACAGAATTAATGGGGAAAAAGTCACATGCGTCTTATTGAAAAGTGATCCGAAAATAAGTTGACTATTAAAAAGAACATGGGGCAACAAAAGGTAAAACCTGAGGACTCGTTATTAAACATAAAATAACAAACTTGAGATGTGGTGACATTGTAATATAAATGTTCACTGTGTTTAGAAAAAAAACACACAAAATTGTTCCATGATGCATGCATAGCCTACACTCGGGAAGCATTTTGACCATGCTGCTTCAATATCTGACGCTTTAGGCAGCCTTTAGCGTCAGTTAAATGACGCCCTAGGATCGCGTCTAACCCATACCCTACCCCAAACCTAAACCTACCCACATCATGTAACTGACGCTTTACCAAAGATGACGCCCTAGGACTGACGCTAAAGGATGCCTAGCGTCAGATATTGGAGCATGGTCAAAATTGTCAGTTAGATGACGCCTTGGGATGAGAATGCGTTAAAGAAGAAAATAGAAAGAGCATGAAACCAGTGGTGTTAAATACAATGCAGTAAGTATAGTACAATAAACCCTTTCAGTGGGTGCCTGTTCCTAATAAGTTTAAGTATAATCTCCTATTTATGTGAGTTTGTCATTTATATTCCATTCCACAATGTTTCCTATTCACACTCCACTCTCATGAGTATAGGTTTTGAGTTGGGAAAAACGTTTGCTTTTATAAGTATGTTTCTTGGAAGAAAATATATGCCATTGACCACAGCAAAACTGAGAAGACATGTTGGAATGGTCCAGCCGAGGCACATACTTTGGGTTGCTCTGAAAGTAAAAAGAAAGCTTAATCTGTTAAAGGGTGGAGGATAATGCACCGATTAAAAAACAACAACTATAGCACATGTCATTACCTAAATTTGCATTAATTATCTTTATCAAGTGTTTTGAAGTGTTCAACCCTGGTTTTAACTGTATTTTGGCATGTTATACAATTTAGCATGAATAAAACATTCTGTTTGTCCCCCCCCCCCCCCCAGCCTCATTTAGCTTTATTTTCCTGTCAATTTCCTTGTGATCAACTGCTTTACACTGATACTTACCTTTTCTTTTGTCATTGTATTGTATTGTTTCTTTTGTCACAGTCAGATTCTTCTCTTCTTTACTTGTTCTCCGTGACAGACTGCATATGTAAATCTTGGTCTTGTTATGGTGAATGGTGGCATGCTCGTTGATAGTGAGTTGACATGTGTTAGATGTAGCATTTACCGGTATGTATGAAACAATGCTGTTTACCATTGCCCCGTCTGAGCTGCCAATTAGCTTTCTTGTGTTTTCTTCAACATCATAGAAGTTGCAGTTAAAGGGTGTGTTGTTCTTGTCGGTGGCACATTTTGGGTAACCACATTCAATCTTTAGGCTTTGGTTTTTGTTGACACATGCTGAGAGTGTTCCAAAATCTTTCGTTTGACCATAGACAGCTAAGAAAATATAGAAAATAAATAAGGTATTAAAGGTAAAGTAATAAGGTTTTTGAATGTGCAGTGAAGTAAATTGTGATCTCTGGATAGCAAAATAATAGTGTTATAATTCCTTAAAGAAAAATGATCCATACATGGATAAAAAACAAATTGAAAGACACAATATGTAAGTGTATAGAGACAATGGGTGATTTAAAAAGACTTTTATCAAATCAAATTAAGGACACGGTAAACTTGCTGGCCTGTATATGCTACAAAGGGTTCACACCAAAACTATTTCAAGCAAGCACATCACATCTAACTTTAGAGAATATTTCTGAAAAACTTGTTGATTTATTCCAAAATTTCACCCTTGATTTTTTTTGGTATCTCGTTGAGCTATTTGTTGTGTTAGAAATCTATGTTGGTCAAGCGTGCAGCACTTTTTGTCAATTAACTGCAAGCAGACAATGTACTGGCATAAATTATGTCCACCCATAAACTTTTAGTATTGATGTGAACATTGGTAAACTGTATCTGACTATCTGACTATATTTGCACCATTAAAAGAGTGAGATGTGGTTCTTACCTGGGAACAGGAGGACATAGATAATCATTTCAATATGCAAATGGTTCTCTGCGCAAGAGAATAAAAACAAACTTTTGTAATAATTATTTTGCCCTCAAAATCATAAATACCACAACTAACTTAATAATCAAAGAAGACAACATCAAAGTCATCTGTTGACATACACAGTTGAGCTGCTTTCATAGGCAATTTTTTCTGTTCAAAATGTTCACAGATTCAACAGGTTGAAGAAAAGATTCAAAACAGAAAATAATTGTAAAGCTCTTACCTTTGAACATTGTTACTTGAATAAATTTGTGTTTTGGATGAATAATCCTTGAATATCGGTTATTTGAGAATGAGAGAATTCATCTAACAATGTGGGCAGGGTTCAAATGAGCAAAATCGATAGTAATGTGATTTCATTGGGCTTTATAGCATTATTTTGTGTGTGTGTGTTGGGGCGGGGAATGCATTTCCGTATCCAGTCATTTGCATTATTACTATTACCCAGAAAGGGTAGGAGAGAGAAAAAGAATAAACAATAACCTCAGCTCACAGTCCATCAGCCTTTTACATTTGTTTCAACATCATGCATTATGAATGTAATGCAACATTAGATGACTCAATAACACCATAGAGTGCCTTTGAGGCTTTCACAATTTCCAGAATAAAAAGCGGAGATATTCCATTTAACTTCTTGTGTAGGAGACCATAGGTTGTTAGAAATGCATGTTGGTCATGCATGCAGCACTTTTTTTTTTTGCCAACTAACTGTAAGAAGACAGTACTGGCGAACCCCAAAATATGTCCACCCTGTCATGGACAAAATCCATACATTTTCTTTGCATATTGACTATAAAATTAAGAACATATTTTATTTTCAGAAAGATATTTAGTTTCTTTCTCAACCATGCATTGTACAGTAGTTAATGAGATTATTTTCTTTTGATAATAAAAAAAAATTACCACAAAATATTTGTTTCCCTATAAAATATATGTGATAGCTTCCAGAATCTCCACCAATTCAATGCTAGATTCCACAAGAAACTGTTACTAAAACATGAAGCAGTTCCAACTTTAAAACCAGAGGGAGCAGTTGTTGGGCCACAACATGTAGACTTAATCATTTTAAATGTATTTGCATGTTTAATTTCAGATCTAATGTTTTAGTTTTATCAAATGCCAGCACTGGCTTTATCACTCTTAGAAAAAAGAGTTCTATATATGTAGCATAGGGTTGATTGGCATGATAGGAATATTTTTTTATATATTATATTGACGAGTTGTATTATCACCGACGGTATTTTCCACTCCGTCAAGATGGCTGCGCCAAATGGCGTGACGTCAATATACGTTCTTATATACGAGTCAGAGCATCAGAACCCCGCCATTAACCGTCCCACTATTTTAAACTATCATATTTGACAATATCACGGTATTTTTATCAAATGAATGCAGCCTGGTTGAGCATTAGAGACTTCACAAACATTTTACACAGTTATTGTACAGTAGCTACACTACACTATTGTATAGAGTAAATGAAGAGTTCAGATGCAAAAGCCTCTAAATGCCATTTGAAATTTTCATCTTTAATGATGATTTTTATCAAACTTGTATATTTAAGTTCAGTAATTTCACTTAAATAACAATTAATAGGTAATTATCATTGCCATTTAAGTGAAATAACTGAACTTAAATATACAAGTTTGATAAAAATCTTCATTAAAGATGAAAATTTCAAATGGCATTTAGAGGCTTTTGCATCTGAACTCTTCAAATGAAAGAAGGGAAGATCATGTGTGCAGTGTATCAAAGTAACCACTAGAAGGAGACGTACATATTACTTCTAATATATTTTAGGCTACTTCCACAGACACTGTAAGTGAAAACCTAGTTTCCTGCAGCTAATACAAGAATCTGACTATTGTCAGCAAATTGGCTGCCAACAGCGCTATGGGATTTATTTCATTGAAAGAAATAAAAGAGTACATAATTATGATTTACACAAGTACAAAAATAACAATCGTAAAAACAACATCACCGATGTGAGTTTCTCTGCCAATGGAGAAAATGTCAATGAGCCTTTTCCATTCAACACTGGCAGCTCATTTATTACAGCTCTTCTCAAAGTACATAAGGTCACTCCAATGCAAATGCAGAGAACAAAATGCATGTTTACCTCTACACAAGATTGAATTCTTGTACATCATTCAGTACCCAAGGAATTGCACATTACGAAGGCATGAAAGTAAAAACCAACATTAAAAATCGTCGTCTAAAGCCAAAGGTCCTCCATAAATATTTCCTTGCTGCTAATTAAATCCACTGTATTTTCTTATAACAGAATCACAGGTTTATGAAGCCAGGAAAATTGACAGAAATTAAAAGAGCAGTGAGAAAAAAAAAACATAAAAGAAGAAAACACAAAATTCAGAACAGCAATGACATTCTTAGGCCACAATTGTTACAGTACAACATCAAAGGCCAAAACTGTCCTACAAAGAGTGTTCTGAGTCCAGAGGCCTGTGTGTGTGTGTGTGTGTGTGTGTCTGTGTTATAAGTGTTTCCATGCATGGAGGTCCCAGCATAGCGGGGGTGACGCAAGTCCATCATGGTCCCACGGCATCTGCTTCTACTCAGCCCTGAAACACAGCAAGAGCCCATCAGTGGAGTAAAAGGCCAACTGTGTTTAGCATACAGCGCGCTACGTCACTACGTCAGGGTCATCACCGGTCACTGCTGACATCAGAGGCCTGAGCCGCCATCATTTACTACACAACTATCAAATTAACGCAATACTGTCACATTATTCTTTTATTCCACAAATAAAAAATATTTTTATTTTTAAATGTTTGGCTTTTGTTTATCAGAATATGTACATGTCTATTCATTACCATAAAACTTTAATGGGAAATTTATCATAAATTCATAAATTTATTTTTAGGGGAAATTTATAAAACTTTAATGGGAAAAAAACATAAAATGTCTGATTTTCTGTCTCTATTCAACACAATTATGCTGTGAAATTATTTGATATTTCTGGGATCATTCTACGGGGAAATGTTATCAATGTTATTTATTGTTGTTTTGTATCCAATTGTTTATAAACAATTAAATAATAATAATAATAAATAAACTATTAATAACACATTCTTATTAAAAATAATTAAATAATAAATTATCCATGTATTTGTTTAAATGTTTTGATAATACATTTTATTACGTATTTATTTGTTTTCAATAATTCTAATAATAAACTATTTTTTATAATAATAATAATAATAATAATAACAAATTATATTTTATATTTAAAAGTATAATATATTAATATAATAATATTAAAAATGTAGAATAGAAAAAGTAAAATTAGTAAAAAGTATTATTGTTTTGTATCTAATTATTAAAAGTAAATACATAATAATAAAAAATTACTATTATTATTATTATGAATAAAAGGTATTATTAGCAACACATTATCATTATAAATAATTAAACAATGATAATAGTAATAATAAGAAGTTAATTGTTTTCAATAACAACAATAAACTATCTATTTAATTGTTTATAATAATAATAATAATAATAACAACAACAATACGAAAATATATTATTATACACTATTAAATGTATAAGAAAATGTAAATAAAATAATAATAATAGTAGACGCAAAACAATAATTATTTTTTTCCTTATTTATGAAAAATTAAATGCATAATAATTATTATTAGTAGTAGTAGAAGTAAACTGTATTAATAATAAATAATTATTATAAATAATAATAAAAATAATAGCAATAAATTATCCATTTATTTGTTTGAATACTATTTATTAATAGTATATCATATATTTATATAATAATAGTAACAGCAACAAAGCAAAAATGCATTCATTCTTCTAGCACAAAAGTCAGTTTTAACACGCATACAGTAAATCTCAAAACGCATGTTATTAATGCAAAACACAATCTGGTCCAAAGAGGAATAAAAGTTTTCCAGTATAGAAAATAACTCACTTTCTATTAAAAAAGCTCTCGTCTTCTCTCCTAACTTGGGTTTGGCTTTTCTGGAGACTTCTGAAGCTGTTATAAGACAAACATGTGTTACACATGTGTAGACACAATACTGTACAGTACAATCTGTGAATGAACAGTTTCAGTGTATTGTATTTTTCTGAGCAATCATGTTCGTGTACTTCACAATATAGTTTTCATTTCCTATTTAAATCATTTTTATATAGAGAGGAGCAGATCTGAGGAGACTGTATGTGATATGATATTCATTTGTGAATACGATTCATATTCATTAGTCACAGATTTTGAATAACAATATTGAAATATTTAATGCACAGTATGTAAGTTTCACCGCCAAAGGTCACTTTTTTAGAACAAAGGCGTCGTTTGATGACGCTGTGAATGAGCATGGAATCGTGGGACTTCATCTCCAAAGTAAAGTCAAATCAATCATACTAAATACGTTCGAATGTATTGAAAAAAGTTGTTATTACGATGTCGATGTGCGTTTCTTCGATGGCTGCAATGAGACAATTGTTGCTATATAACAATGTTAGAATATCATATTAATAAAAGCAGGATGACTTGATCTGCTAAATGGCATAAAGTTAATTAAAAAAAATATATTGTATGGTGGAGAAAATGCTGTATTACTGTTACTACAAATAAAGCCTTTCTGGTTATGCTATGCTAGCTACTCGACAAAATAGTGTTGTCTCTGAGGCCATGTTGAGCTTTTTAACAAGGATTAGTTTTCTGTCGATACAGTTCGAAAACAGTTGCTCACCTGTCAAACAGAACACAATATATATATATATATATATATATATATATATATATATATATATATATATATATATATATATATATATATATATATAAAATGGCTGATTTAAACATAATTAAACTTTTGGGATAATACAAGTACACAAGTCAATGAAATAAATAACAATGTTTAAGGATATCATTTTTTTAAATCGTACATATTGTTACTTTAACTAGAATAAATATATAAATATATATACATACTGTACATATACATACAATTATAAACAATTGAATAAATAGTTTCTATATAAATGTATATATGTTTTGTATTCCCACCCACTTTTGGCTTGAAACCCCCAGAGAGCACTACTTTATATAGCACTGCAAATGTAACATTTGTTGTTTCCTATACATTTTTTGCTTCTATTTTGAGCTCAAAAATAATGCTAAATGCAAAATCGTTTCCCATCATCTGTCCAAGAGGGGGCGGTATAAGCCTTCTCTCTAGAAAGCAGAACTACGCACATAAAATGAGGCCACACACATTTCTAGCAGCTAATGTGATCAGATAAAAAAAAATAAAAAATGAAAACATGAAGATCAGAGGAGCACAGGCTGGAGGAGATCAAGACACCTTATTAACCACCACTATGATCAAAATTACGTGAAAAAGCAAAGATTCAGAGTGAGTGGAAGCAGATGGGAAGTGAAGGTCTCTAAGGACCACCATTTTATTTACTAGTGGTGGGCATACTGTAACAAACAAAAAAGGAAGAAGAAAATAAATTTTTTAAAAAAAAAAGCCATTTATGAAGAGCTTAAGGACAGGCCGAATATCTACCATACCTGTGTCTGTTCTTTAAGAAAATCAGGTAGCTGAAATTCACCCTTAAAGACCTGGAAAAACAGAGAGCTGATTTTAGAGGCTGTCACACTGTGCAAACACAGGATCTACAGTCTTTCCACAAAGAGCACTGCTCATTCATTACACAGAAGAGGAAAAAAAAAAAGATTTTGAAGTTTGAACTGTTTATTTATTTCTCTGCCTGAAGTTATTTTAATCTCGAAAAACATCCTTCTGAACAGCATCGATACACACGGTTTTAGAAAGCCTCCAGAAAGCAGTAATGGCCAAATGAAAAGTCTGGCGCTGAACGAATAACAGAGTCCTCTTATGTGAAACACTCTCTCGCGCCGCTAGGAGGATATTGTGTGTCAATTCCCAGGGTGTCTAACTTCACAAAATTCACAAGCTCTATCCAGGGATGAAAGAAAGAGTGAAAGACTGTGAGAGAATGAAAGAGAGCCAGACTGAATGCTGGTATGAGAAGCAGCCAGTGTGTCTGCTCCAGAGACGACGACAATCTCCAATTAAGACACATCCAGCTGATCTCATTTCCTGGCTTTAGTTTCTGAGCTGAGGAAATTGGGAACGAGGAGCACAGAGAATCGTGCAAGTGTTTGGGTTGCCGCAGGAAAGAAGCGCTGACCTGACAGGAAGCTAGACAACTTGGCGATGGAGCCACGCTTTGAAAACACTTTCCGATGCCGTCTAGGCTGTGAGAAACCTGAAGCTCGCGCTCTTTACTCCACTGCTTGGCTCAGTTATTGCAGCTCTATGAAGGGGTTTTTCTTATAAACAACAAATTTCATTTGTGCAGGAGACCAAAACTTTGCATGATCCTTAAAGGTGCCATCTGTCAAAAAAAAATCTAATCATACTCCATATTCCATACCAGATGGGGGCAGTATACCTCCAGAAAGTGAGTTGTGCCGCGGCCGCGCAATCTCACGTCTTCAAACAACACGAGCGCATATTAATCAAATCAATTGACACAATAGTAAAAGGTTGGAAGGCCGCAGTAGAGAGACTCAATGAACACATTTTTAGAGACTCAATGAACAACATCTCAACACTAAATTATAAAGGCCGTCTCATAGACGCCTGTCTCAAATACAAGCCGGTGCATTTCGACGATATGGGGAAAATAAAAGCCCTGGCTATTATTTGACGTTTTACGGTATTTGTTTTGTTCATATTACATTTTTATTGTTATTTGAATTAATTTGACAGACAGCATTCGCCGTGAGACTTTTCACTTTTCACACGCTCTCACGCCACACATCAATTTTGTCACGCACAGAAATGGACACGGAGACCGACAAGACTAGACAAAGCAGGTTAGTTATGATATATCAAAAAAAATCTCAGCTCTCAGATTCTGTCAATTTTATTAAATTTAATTCAAACAATAAATACCGTTTTGGTGCTTGTAAATGTTACACGACAGATATAGCGCACATAAACCGATCATCTCTACTAGCTAACGTTAATGGTAAAAGAACACGAACACACATACAGTATGCTACAACTTAGCAAAATCTATTCCTCATTAGGGTTGCCGCGGTGAGGAAAATTTCCCACCGGTTAATCGACGTGTGACAACACCGGTAATCCCGGTGTCACCGTGGAGGGCAGGGCGGGGGGGTTAAATAGCTTTTAAATGCGTGCGCGTTATACTTTCACTTTCGAAATAAGCTACAATTGCTTGAATGGACAAAAAAACAACTCGCTGATAATAAAACTTTTATTTATAGACTTTTATTAGCATAACGAACGAATAAAAATAACCCCATGCATAGGCTGAAAAAAGTGAAAATCGGCAAAATGTGGGCCCAAACAAATAAGAACCATAAAACGTTTATTAACGAATAAGAAAATAAAATAGGCCTAAATAAATTACACAAAGTTTAAATAAGATAAAACCAATTAAAAAGAGACGAATATAAAATAAAAACTTCAAAACGGACCTTAGCCTACATAAATGACATACTTTCACTTTCGAAATAAGCGTCAATTGCAATTCAGCGTCAATTGCTGGAATGGACAAAAAAAAAAAAAACAACTCGCTGACAATAAACTTTTATTTAGACAGCACTTTTATTAGAATAATAAACGAATAAAATATAGACAGAACTTTTATTAGCATAACGAACGAATAAAAATAACCCCATGCATAGGCTGAAAAAAGTGAAAATCGGCAAACTGTGGGCCCCCAAAAAATAAAACGTTTATTAACGAATAAGAAAACAAAATAGGCCTCAATAAATTAAACAAAGTTTAAATAAGATAAAACCAAATAAAAAGAGACGAATATAAAATAAAAACTTTAAAAAGGACCTTAGCCTACATAAATGACAGCACTCTAAAAAAAAGTAAAACACTATAAATTGGCATTTATTAACATTAATATATATTGGCCAAAATATTGCCAAACAGGCGCTTTTGCATTGCGTTTTGACACCAAATCTTCCGCCATTATCTTCCTTTTCTGTAATTTGACTCGTTCTCGTCTCCACACGCGCTAAATGGAATCCTGATGCTTGCTGATCTGTGACGTGACGGCACGCGTTGCGCAGTTCATTTTTAATTATAATGCTCTCTTCAGAACTAAATAATTAAATTATTATTTTTAATTAATTCAAATAAATATTTTAGCAAAAACGAATACTTAAAAAAAAAAGTCAAGACATCGCGGTGTCACGGTGGGAAAGTGATGTCACCGGTGATGGGGCTTAAAACCGGTAACACCGTCAACACAGTCCATCGCGGCAAGCCTATTCCTCATGCATAATATCGACCAATGATTTTTTTTACTTTTCCCTGAACTGAAATGCAATAGTGGGCTGTACTTTCTACACAATTGACATCAGGTTCAAGTAAGCCGCATCACCCACAAGCCGTGCGAGTTATTCGCGTATCGCAGTTTGGCTGGTGGTTATGTTGCCTGCCCGGCATACCGCCTCCCATGGCCGAAACTGGTATTATGACACCTGCTGGGCCGGGGCTAGTAATTTAGCATGCTAATTCAGATTAATATCTCTGCAGCACTATAACTTGTCATTTTTTTAATGACATCATCAACCTTATTTCTTCTCATTCTTTTGATGCGTGTAGCTCATTTTTTTGGATATTTTAACCAATTCTTACACATGGCACCTTTAAAAGTGATCAAGTGCTGTCTTGCTTTTCCTCATACATAAAAAGATAAAACGATACAACGAAAGAGATAGAACAATAGGACGAAAGATAGAAGGACCAAATTATAGAATGAAAGACAGAAAGAACCAAACGATAGAACCAAAGATAGACAAAAAGATAGAACGATACAAAGAAGGACCGAATGGAAGACAGACAGAACAATAGGATACATAGATGGAACGATAGATAAAAGGACCAAATGATAGAATGAAAGATAGATAGAAGGAATGAACTATATACACTCAAATGCTGGGTTGTTTTAACCCAACTTTGGGTCAAATATGGACAAACCCAAACGTTGGGTTAAAAATGTAAATTCAAAAATTTAACCCAATGGCTGGGTTTGTCCATATTTGACTCAAAGTTGGGTTAAAACAAACAAACCCAGCATTCATGTAGAGATGCAATTTTTACAAAGTGCACACCAAATAAAGTTAGTCTCATAAAAGAAAGAATCGATTCTGAACTGTTGAAACAAGTCACGTAACATACCTATGTAACAATGTAACAAATTTGCATAAAGGCAGTCTATGGTCTTCCATGGCTAGTTTTAGCGGAGGCCTAGAAGAGTTTAGTTTGTGTTGTCGAGATTAAGATACTGTTTTCAGCGCTGTGAACCCACTTTTAAAAAGGATGAGGACTCACACTGGAATTGTTACAGCAAAACCAATGCCATCAATCGTTATGGTTCGTATCACTGTGTACCAAGAGCACGCTTGCAGGAGAGACTAAATCTTTGCACATCCCTTTTTCCGAGAGTGTTTGGGTTTTTGCTAGAGGAGAAAAGAGTGAATTTGGCTCGCTCTCCCCATCACAGTCAGCTGAACTTACGCAAGACTTCAGACCCAATTACAGAGAGGAGTTTCCGGGCTGCTGGTTAAAGAGAGCTGGTATCACTGGTGGGTCAAGAGGCGAGGGTTGGGTGTAGAAGTAAGCGAGTTCGATTGGGGTTCGTTTGAGTCAAGTTGGCTAGCCAAACTTGCGGTTTAGAGCTCGAGTGGAATTAATTTGCAATGAGAAAGGCATGCATTTTTCCCATTTCCCTGGGTAACATTTTACAACGACCTATTGCTCATCCGAGACTGTTACCCGCACTAAATCCTGTTAATGTTGCGTTAGAGGTGCCGATTCGTAAGACATATCCCCATGGCTGGAGGACAATCGATGATTAAAAAGAAAGTCCTGCTCACATGTTTTGGCTGTGACTGGTTCTGATTCATTCATTTTGTTAGTGTGGATAACAAATGAGCGAGTAGGATTTGTACAGTAGAAGTCCCAAAAAAGTCAATATTATCTTATCCAATCCCCAAACACTCCCTTTATATCTCCACAACAACAAGCGTCTGATTAGCAGGTCTCGGTTGGCTGGCAGCAATGATGTATCTGGCTCTCTATGTTGGATATAACAGTAATAACATGCTAAATTAGACAATTTGTCGAGGCAACAAACATTTGTTTGGTTCGCTACCATGGAAAAAAAGATTTTTCACCGCTGATGTAACAAGACACTTTTCTTCAAACAAAAGATATTACTATAGAGAATAATTTGACAAAACCTGTGGGTAACTGAGGGCGTGTGCGATTGAGACCTTTATACGGGCAAATTCTTCAGATCCTCAAAGTTTCTGAGCTCCAGGGAGGCGGCGGTGGAAAAACTGACTGTGCGGCCCAGCAGGGGAATATTCTCTACTGGAATGTTTACATTCAGCCCTCCTGTAGCTATCAGCATGAACAGTAGGTTTAACTTTAACTAGAAAAACATGGAGTAAGAAAATGAATCATTGGAACTATATAATAATTGGCCGATGCAAAAAAGGGACAAAATACAAATTTAAAAGTTACCTTACGTTGTTTC